CAGATGCCCCTCCGTGGGGACTCTCCCAGCCTTCTATATTCAGAGGGGCATCGTGCAGACTCCTGGAGCCAGTGATGCCATTGGGCCGGAGGAGCCGGTGTGGGGTGGGGTGCCCAGGGGCCCCCGAGTGGTGGTGATGTTGGGGGGAGGGGAGCCCAGTTCTGCTCCCCTCGGCTCAGAGCTGTCCTGGCAGGCGGCTGGGGCGAGGCTGGCCGCGGAGGGAAAGGGGGGCAGAGCGGGGGACTGCCCAGCTGGAAGAGGCCTCGTCTAATTGTGCCTGATTAGTAGAGAGGAAGAGAACAGGGCGAGTGATTAATAGGCGCGGCAGTCACCAGCGCGCGGGGAGGGCGCGCGGGGAGGGCCGGGAACGGGGCCATGCCCACAGGTCCCCAGCCACCTGTCCCTGCACTGTCTGCTAGGGTCCCCCCCACCCCGCCTGAGGACCCCAGCCCCAGGGGCTGGGTTCTGCTTCCTCGGGGGGTCCCCCTCGCCCACCTCTGCCCTCCTCCCTCCCAACTCTATTTCCCAGTCCTGGGGACAACGGGAGAGAGTTAAGACGGAGCTTTCCCGAAAAGGCCAGGCGGGGTCCTGCTTGCTGAGCAGCAAATGGATGTCTGTCCCTGTCCCCTGCGGTCCCCACATCCGGGCTGTGTCCTCAGCTCACCCTGGACCCTCAGCCCAGAGCAGGAAGCTCAGTGCCAGTCCGAAGTGACCCCTTAGACCCTCGAGTCTGCTTGGCTGCAGGGCCTTACCCTGCCCTGCTCTTCCCAAACTCCCCAACCCGTCCCCCCAGGACCCCTAGAGCCACACTGTCCAGCATGGAGGCCAGCACACACCTGCTGTGCTTGCAAAGTCCTTCCCCCGAGTTGCAGCTATGATAGCTGAGCCCTCTGTCACCGCCAGCAGAGAGGGGAACAGAGGGCTCTCTGGCACGTGAGCTGGTATGGGGGGAGCCGGTGAGCATGGGGGTCCTGGGCTCAGACAGAGCACAGGCTTGGGGTCTGAGTGTGAAGAGCCGGAAGTGGCAGCGGGGGCTGGGGAGGGGATGGCCAGGCATAGTGGGGGACGGGAGCCTTGCTGGGAGCAGCCGGACGGAGGCTCTCCTAGCCTGGAGTGGAGGCGCTGAGGGCTGGAGGAACAAGACAGCAGTTAAGAAGACACTTGTTGGGGCTGGAGTGATAGCATACAGCAGGCAGGAGGTTTGCCTTGCACACGGCCGACCCGGGTTCAATCCCCGGGATCCCATTTGGTCCCCCAAGCACCGCCAGGAATAATTCCTGAGTGCAGAGCCAGGAGGAACCCCTGAGCATCTCTGGGTGTGAGCTGAAAAAGACACTTGCGTCACATACTTTGGACCCGAGTTCAATTCCCGGCACCCCATAGGTAGGCTCCCCTCCCCCCCCCAGCACTGCTAGGAGTGAGCCCTAAGCACAGAGCCAGGAGGCAGTCCTGAGCATCACCAGGTGTGGGCCCCCTCTCCCCCAACAAACATTAGACAGAAGTCCCGAGGGCACTGCTCCACGCTGGGCTACGGACTCACCCTCTCGGTCCTTGCGACACCAGAATCCTCTACGTCCTGCTATCTGAGCCAAAGAACTCCAGAGACAGATACAGTGAGAGCCTGGGTGGCGTCTCCAAGGCTAAACAGGACTAAAGGTGTTAGTACCCAGGACTAACACCTTCCCCGGGAGAGGCAGAGGTTGAGCCCGAGAAGCCGGGGGAACCAGAGGGACGTCTGCTTCTCGGAGATGGAAGACGGGGCCTGGGGACACTGATGGTGAGTGGATGGTGGAAGGAAGTGGATGGAGGAAGGAGAGAACTGAGGGGGTGAGGTGGAGGGGTGCTTCCTTACTACCAGCCCAGTCTCCTCTGTCCTGTCTCTTCTCCCCTCAACCCCCCGCCATCCCTCCTCTGCAAACCTCACCCCCGCGGGCCTCCTCCCTTAAGCCCTCACAGTCCTCTCTAGCCCTGAGTGGCCTCTCCGGAACTCTCAGGCCTGCGCCATGCAGGCTTCAACCTGCCACTTCTCTCCTGCCTGGCGGTGCTTAACTCTCGAGCAGTGGGTTGATCTGGGGCGTGTCCCCAGTCCCGCCCCTGTCCACTGCTCGAGGACCAGGCCCCTGGGGGGCAGGGAAGGCACCCCCAGAAATGCGGATGGAGGCATCTGGAGTGTGTTGGGGTGTTAAGGGGTGAATCCCTGGGAGCGTGGGGAGTGAGCGCGATGGCGTTGGTAAGAGCAGCAGAAGCGCGAGCAGGGGACTGGGGGAGGGTGCATTACCCGGAGTAAAAATAGGCTGGAAAATGTGACATTTATTAACTTGGATTCCAGAGGAAAGGTCACAGCGGAATGGGGAGTGGGGAGGGGGAGACCCAGGAAAGCCACAGGAAACACCGAGAACCCCTTCCCCAGGGCTGGGGCCGCCATGGGCCCCCTCCTCCCAGGTCCCTGGCCACTTCTCCCACTGTCCGTGCCCATTGCTAGATCGCCACAGTGGCTTCCGGCCCAGGCCCTCATCGGGGACCCCCCCACATGGTATCCTCTGCATCTCCCCATTTCCCCTCTCATCTCACAGTACACCCCTAATCTCCCCACTGCTCGGGGTCTTGGAACCTATCGCTGCCCATAACTGCAGCCCCAGAGAGCCAGGACCCGGACGAGTGACATTCAGAGGATGTGGGGGTGCAGGGGGCCCGTGGGGGCTGGGATCTCAGCTGGGCAGGGCCGCTTTGGGGAGCTAGAACATTCCCAGGGGTCCCTGAGCCCCGATGCTCGTTCTTGTCTTCCATCCTTCTCGGTCCTGCCACACCAGACCCAAGAACTTCTGTCCTCTTCCTGCAGACGCAGGTCAGAAAGGAACTGGGGGTGGGGGAAATTCTGCCTTCGCCTGTGCCCAGCCTGGACCCAGGACTCCCCCCCCCCCCTTGGTCCTCTCAGGGGCCAGGCCGGAAACCCACCTCCCTTCCCCTCTTCCTCTTCCCTCTCCAGCTCTTCCTCCCACGGAGCTTTTCGCACACCTCCACTCCCAACCCGCCAGGGGCAGTGCCGGGTGGGGGGCCTTGGCACAGCTGGTCCTGCCCTGGCTACAGAGCTGGCTCCTGACTTCCGCTCCAGTGGTGCCCGCTGGGCCTGGGCTCTGCTTCTTCCCGAGTCCCCAGGGATCAGAAAGGCCAGCAACAGCATCACCCCCTACACCCCACCTCCTCCCAGGGACAGCTTCCTCTGGGCTCTGGCGTGGAGAGCAGTCATTTCTTCTTTTTATTTTGGGGGCATCACCCCACGGTGCTCAGGATGTACTCCTGGCTCTGTGCTCGCTCAGGGATCACACCTGGAGGACCATTCGGGATGTCGGGGAGGGAACCCAAGTTGGCTGGGTGCGAGACTGATGCCCTACCTGCTATGCTATCACTCCAGTCCCCGGAGAGCTGTGATTTTATCCTAGAAGGGGTGTGTGTGTGGCTGGATGCAAGGCCAGTATCCCCCCCCCCCACACACACACCTCATTTCGGCACACACCTCTCCCTCCTGTTCCTTCTTGCAATTGCACCCAGCTCAGGCAGGAGGACACTCAGGCTGTGTGAGTGTGTGTGTGTGGGGGGGGGGAGCTGGTTGGAGCATGCACTTCTGGCCGTGTCGAGGCAGTGAATGAATGAGAATGTGTGTGTGTGTGTGTGTGTGTGTGTGTGTGTGAGAGAGAGAGAGAGAGAGAGAGAGAGAGAGAGAGAGAGAGAGGCTGGGACATTAGATGGGGACACCTGCATGTCTGGGACTGGGTCCTAAAGGTGGGCTCTGCATCGTCCACATTGACGCTCTGTTTGCCCCGCACAGGCAGCGGTGAGGAGGCTGAGAGGATGTTTGCATGCATGCAGAGCACCAGTGTCCACTATCAGGAAAGGGCCAGGGAGTAGCCAGAAAAGTGTCCCTTGTGCCTGGGGAGGAAACCAATGGAGCCCTGACAGACTGAGCATGCCAGACACCCTCCGACTCATACCTCTGGGGACCGTGAGGGCCCCTGGAGCCGAAGCAGCATCCCCGAGCGTGTATGTTCAAACCCAGGGACCAGCGGTGGGCACACTGCGTGGGCACTCCCCCAAGGGCACCAGCAAGCCCAGCGTGACCTCAGCTCTGGGCAACTGAAAGCCAGGAACTGGGCCCGGGACTGAGATCTCGGGGTGGGCGCACACGTGTCCCGCAAGAGGGGTCGGCGGGCACCCGTCCCTGCGTGGGTAGACTGTGCGTGTGCACCCCTGTATATGTGTGTGTGTCCGTGTGCATGTGTGTGCACATGTGTGCTGGCCGCATGGAGGGGGCATGACTGATTCTCAGAGGAAGAGCCGGAGCCGGTAAAGGAGCAGTGAGAAGCGGCCAGCGGGGGAGGGAGGGGCCGCATGAAAGGCCGATGTGTGAGGGACTCTGAAAGGGTGTGTGTGTGTGAGAGACACTGGCACCCAGTGTCCACCGAGACCGGCGCGAGCCGGCCTGCCGCGTGGGCCAGCTCGCCAGGGAGGCTGCTTGGAGCCCACCCCGCCCCCCTCACCCCTATTCTGGGCCCCGCTCCCCTCACCCTCGCTCCAAGGAGGCAGCGAGGAGGAAAAAGGGAGCAAGAGAAAAGTGGGGAGGTCAGCTGGGCCTGGGGCATGCGATCCCTGCCAGCTGACCCAGCCTCAGGAGTCCCCTGGGACCGACCACAGCAGGACCCCCGGGCCCCCGGAACCTGGGCACTGCAGCACAGCGGAAGGAGTCGCTGCTGTGGCCGCTACCGCCGCCACCACCATCACCCGGCGCCAGGGTAAGCCCCTGCGAGCGTCCCCTGCTTCGTGGCGGGGAAGTCAGAGGGAAGCACAGGGCTCCGTGGAGGTCTGAGGCCTGCCTCTGGTGGCGGCAGGAGGGGAAGCCCCGCGGAGGATGCCCCACGCACCCTTCCCCCCACCCCAGCGTGGCCCAGCGGCCGGTGCCAGCCTCCTGCCACCCCAGGCCGGGCGGGCCAGCTGGCAGGACTCACCACGGAGAAGTTGCTGGCGGAGCAGCGGTGGCCACTGAAGTTGCAGCTCTTGAGCATGTCAGCGAGCTGGTGGCCGGTGCGGTTGAGGATGTCCACCATGTCGGGCTCCGGGTAGCGCAGGCCGGCAGCCCGGTGCCCGTCCCGGTCCTTGGGGGGCAGCCCAGTGAGATTGGCCAGGTGGAAGATGTCAGCGTCGCTGAGCGCGGAGTGGCGGAAGCGGTTGATGTTGCAGAGGGTGACCGCCGGGAAGCCGGCCGTGGGGGCTGGGACGGCGGGGTCCACGGAGACCAGGTGAGGCCGGGTCAGGTAGCCCCGGGCCAGGCCGGCCGCCTGGTACAGAAAAGCAGCCAGCGAGGTGAGGAGGGCGAGCGCCCACAGGGTCCGGCGCAGTCCGCGGGGTCCTGGGCCACAGGCCCGGGCCAGCCCATGCAGGGTACTGCTGTTGGCGAAGGTGGCCAGGTCCCGGGGGGCTGCTGCCCCCGGCGCTGCCCCCAGGAGGCTCTGCTCATCCCCTGCCTCCTTCTCCTTGGGTTTCGCATCCTCCTCTGCAAATTTGATTTTGCACACAATCTCGATCGGCATCTGTCCCTGAAAGATGCTGGGACCGGCCGGAGCCTCCCTTGCCCTGTCCCCTCCCTGGCCAGCGGCCCCCGCCCCCCCACCCCACCACGCCGGTGCCCTCCGGAGGAGCAGCGGTGGTGGTGGCAGCGCACAGCCGCTCAGCTCGCTCTTCTAAACTCGCGGGGCAAGCGGGAGGAGGAGGACGGGGCCGGGGTGGGGGGCCGGGGCGGGGGCGTCAGTCACTCCCACTCGCAGCCTCTCCTGCCGCCTGCCCGCCCGCTGCCGCCGCCGCCGCCGCTGCCGCCGCTGCTGCCGCCGCCGCTGTCTCTCTCCTCGATCGTCTCCTTGTGGCTTCCCTTATCAGCACCAGCACAGCTGTCAGCCCCTGCGTGTGTCCCTGCGAGCGAGCGAGGGAGCGAGGGAGCGAGCGCGGCTCTGCCACGCCGCGCAGCATGTGCTCGGAGCCCACCCCGCGCTTAATAATTCAGGACGTGTCAACAGCCGCTCACCCGCCCGGCCGGGGCGCGCGAGCCGGGGCATCCCCCCCACCCCCTCCCTCGCCGTCCACTCAAACTCTGTTACACCCTGGTCACTCCTGGGGCTCCCGCCCCCCCCCACCCCCAGCCAGCCGCTTCCGCCTGGCCCCACTCCCACGCCACTCAGAGAGCAGTGCGACCCCTCCCCGCTGTCCCCCCAACTCTGTCACTCTTGGGGACCATGCCCCCGGGAGGTGGCTGGCCAAGGGAGACCACCCCCACCTCCTGATCTCCCCCACACACACTGTCCCTCAGCACCCAGCGGGTCCCTGACCCCTGTCCTACCTAGCCCAGCACGAACTCCTCCTCCTCTTCCTCCTCCTGGGGAGAGCCACTTGTTTGAATGAGGGCAGAGGGCAGAGGGCAGGCAGCACTGCCGGGACCCCCCTCCTGTGTCCCCCACCTACAGGGCTTGTCCAGAGCTTGGCTCCTGACCTCAAAGCCCCCTCCCCCCTGCGCCCACCTCTGTGCCCTCTGCCAGCCTGGTGGTTGCCTTCCTCCCCCACTTTCCCTCCACCCGCAAACTCAGTCACTCCAGCAGGGAACAGAGGGGAGGCTCACTGCCAGCTGGACCATTTGCTGCCCTCCAGGTCCCCCACATCCAAGGCTACTGGCAGGGTGACCAGTCCAGCGAGCTGGGGCGATGTGAAGTGTGTGTGTGTGTGTGGGGGGTGGCTCTCACTTAGAGGGGAGTAGAGTGTGGGGTGAGCCGGAGGAATGGGTTACAGCAGCTGGTGGGGTGGACCCTCGCAGGGCTAGCCTGGGCTGGGGTCCTGGGGCGGGGCGTTGCTGGAAGCTGATGTGTAGGCAGAGATGGGGACCTCGGCGTGCAGGCCAGGAGCTGCCTCGGTGCGCCCCCCCTCCGCCCAGCTCAGGGGACGGTGGCTTTTGGCGGGGGGGGCTGGGGGGCCGTGGGCGAGCGAGCCTGTGTGCCCTGGCAGGGGAGAAAGCATTTGTCCCCCCCCCCGCCCCAGGAGAGGGTGGGGGCTGATTAATCGGGGCGCTAATGAGCAGCAGGGAGAGGAAGCTCCGAGGGGCGGGGGAGGCGGCTCCATCGATCCGAGCCGCGGAACCAGCAGCTGAAAAAAAAAGTGAGAAGGGGAATCGATCCGAGGGAAGCGGCAGCTGCTGGGGATTAGAGCCGAGCCCGCCCGCGCCCAGCGGCCGCCCCGCCCCCGCGCTGCAGGCCCCGCCCCCAAGCGCTGCAGGCCCCGCCCCCGGGTCTCGGCCCCGCCCCCCGGGGAGCCCCGGGGAACCCCGTTTGCAACCCGGCCGGGACGCGCCGCCCCTCACAGGCCGTCCCAACCGGGAGCACCCCCTCCTGGCCACTCTGGCGCCCCGCTGCCCCCAGCCGCTTCGAGTCGCTTCCTCTGGCGGGGTTTCCCTTAGCCTCGGAACCCCTAGGGCCCCAGGGGTCACAGCGGCGGCACCTGCACCCCTTGGGGGGAAAGCGGGGGTGACGCGGGAGGCCGGTGCTGAGTTAGCAACTAGCGCGGTGGCCCAGACAGTCCCCCCACCCGCCGCTGGCCCCTGTCCAGGCACCCCCCACCACCCCGGGTTCGGCCCCCCCAGGTCCCCACGCCCCTCCAGAGCCACCTCCCCCCCAGCCTCCCTCTCTTCCCCTTTCTCCTAGTATCGATTTTTCTTTTACTGGTTTTTTTTTTAAAGGTGATTTAATTGCTTTTTTAAGGTTACTTCAATCTGGGGCTCTGCCAAGACACGGGGAGCTGGCCCCCAGCTCTCGCGGCGGCCCTGGACTCCGGGCTTGTCCCTAAACTCTCTGCGCCCTCGCTGAGATCTGGGCTCATCAGTCCCGCTGACCACCCGCCCGTGCGCCGGGTCACTCCCTGCAGTCTGAGGCCACCGGGCACCGCCCCCAGGGGACTAATGGACCGTAGGGAGGTGGGTGGCTGGGGAGGTGGGGGTGTGCACCAGGCTGCTGCGAAGGGGAACGGGCAGCGAGCTGCACGTGCTCCCCACTTTGGCCCCGCAGCCCAGCTGTCTCTAATTGTCCCCCGTGGTGTCCCTCTCCCCCCTGCGCCAGTCTCCCAGACCTCCAGGGATCTGCTTGCCTGGGGGAGTCACCCCACCCCCCACGTCCCTTCCGCCGCCCCTGGGACTCCTCCCCCCACCTCTCTGCTGCCCCGACGACCCCCGCCCCTTTCCCTCTGGCCCCCTGTTCTTTCTCCCCCCCTCTCCCTGCCTGCCTGCCTCTCTGCCCGGCTGCAGTTGGGTGATAATCTCCCTCATTTAGCCTCGCGGCTGCTTCCCCGGCTCATTGCCCAGCTGGTCCCTGGGGCCCGGGCCCAGCCTTCTCCCCACCCCCCCAGCCTGGCGCCCAAGCTCCCCCCACCCTCCCCACGGCCCCCACCCGCTCCCGGGGGGGACCAGATGCCTCCCTGCTGGGAGCCTCTGGGCCAAGTGGGGCTGCCTGGGACCTCCACAGGGAGGCCGGGGACAGGGTGTGGGGGGCGTAGAGGGGGGGTTCTTAATGGTCCTCTACTGCCTGCAGTTGTCCCCACTGTCCGGGTTTGTCCCCGGTCAGTCGCCTTCTCTGCCTGCCCCTCCCCTTCCACCCCACCCCCCACCCCGAGGGGCTGGCCTGGGCTTCCTGACGGGCAGAAGGCGATGGCGGTTGGGCGACAGGCAGAGATGACAGTGGAACGCGGGCCCCGGCCGAGGGTGCGGGAGTGGGTGAGCCGCGCCGCAGAGAGCAGGGACGCTGCCTCCCCGGGGACAGCCCGCCCCAAGACAGCCCTCCCAGGACCCAGGGGGGCGCCTCCGAGGCCACGCCTGCACCCCGGCGCCTCCGGGGCTTGGCTTCTCCTCCCACCCCAGGGTCCCCTAAGCCGAGCGCACAGCTGCCCTACAGCTGGGCAAGTCCCATTCCTGAGCGCCCACAGGCTCCCAGATAGCGCCTCCTGCGGTCACAGTGCCTCCTGCGGTCACGGTCCCCGCCCGGCCTCCCCCAGGGCCTCCATCCCGGGCCCAGACACCTGCCCTGGGGTCTGGCCCGCCGTGGGGACCAAGGCAGGGGTCAGTGCGGGTGGAACATGGCAGGAAGGAAGGGCTGTGATGGGGACCTGGGGGGGGGGCGCGGGCGATGGGTGGCCGGGGCTGGGCCAGGCCTGGCTGGCGAGCAAGCAAGCCGCGGTGACAAACGGGCTGTGCGGGGGCCGAGGGGCGGGGGGCGGACGGCTGCTGATTTATCTGGGTTATTTATGCCGCGGACGAGGCAGGAGAAGCGGTTAATGAGAGTCCCGGGGAAGGGGGGTGGTTGGGGGGGGAGGCCCAGACGTGATCAGAGGCGGCTGAAGAGGGTTAGTCCCACCGCCGGAGAGGCCCTACCGGCACCCCCGGCCCTCTAGGGTGGGGGACCACCCTCTCACCACATCCCTTTGGCGCCTAAGCCCGCCCGGCTTGGAGCATCTTCCATAAGGTCTGTCTGCTCAAGTGGCTTGGACCCACACCCTCCCCCGCCCCCCCCCCCACCACCCATGTCCTTTGGGGCACTCCCAGGCCAAGATAGAGGAGCGCTAGGATGAAGGAGACCAGAGCCAAGATCTCGGGTAGAAGAGCTGATAGGAGTGGCCAGGGCGCCAGGGAGCGAGGCAAGCTGGGCGCGATGGACGCTGACCTGGTGTGTGTGGGGGGGGGGAGGGGAAGGGGGAGGGGCGGGGAGAGCCAGGCTGGAGGGGAGGCCCCTGGGAGGAGGGGCGCCCACCCAAATCAGGATTTGAAGGCCGGATGGAGGGAGGGCAAAGGGCGCCCGGGTGCAAGTTCTGGTGTCAACCCCCCAGCCCGACTGGGGGGGACCAGAGGCAGAGGCGGGCAGGGGGTGCTGGTCAGACCGAGCAGAGCGAGCCGGGGAGGGAGGGGGAGAGGATGGGGGGGAGGAAGGGGAGAGGGCTTTGCAGCAGCGGGAAAGCTGCTGGGAGCAGATAAGGCGGCACAGCAGCGGGAGGGATTAAAGCTCGGAGGGGCCCGGGCGACGTGGGACCGGAGGGGGGTGGGTGGGTGGGTGGGTGGGTGCAGGGGGAGGTGGCGGGGGGAGGCAAGACGCTAGCCAAGGAGAGGAAGGGAGAAAGCAAGGTCGGGGGTGGGGGCGGTGTCACGGGCACAGGGTTTAATCAGGGGCCAAGGGCAGGGTCATCAGGGCCTGGGAAAGGAGGGGGTCCCGACGGTGTCTTCTGGGGAGGACGGTCCTCGTACGGAAGGGTAGCAGAGCTCCTTCAGGAGAGGGTGGATGCGCGGCTAAGGGGGTGTGGGGTGGGGGCTTCAGCGCGGGGCCCTTCCCGGGAGGCGCTGCAGGCTGCAGACTGAGGCCCCACAGCGCCTCCTGGAGGCAGCCCAGGGGACGGCGCGGCGGGAGCAAGTCCCGGCTGCAGGGGGTGGGGGTGGATGGGTGGGTGGCGGGTCGCCAGCCTGCCGGGATGCACCCGCCCCCGACCCCCCATCACCATCCAGGCCCCGGGAGGGGCGTGGGGAGACAGCGGGGCCCACGTCTGGGCGCGAGCGCCCCGCGGGCTCACGCCTTGGCACCTCGCCTCGCCTCAGCGCCTGGGCCCGGGGCTCCGGGGTGGCCCGGGGGCGGGGGCGGGGGGCGGAGTGATTGCGTGTTTGTCAGTTCTCCTGTCTGCACACAGGAGCTCCTGAGTGCTGGTGGGTGTGTAGCTGCGCCTCGCCTCGGGAGTTTGTGTCTGTTGGCAGAGGTGTCGGGGCGTCTGTCTGGGGGGGTGGGGGTGGGGGCAGGCCTGGGTTCGCTTTGGCCCCTGGTCCTCCCCCATAACCCACTCCACTTTGGGTTTGGGTGGGGGGGGGGTTGAGCTCGGCTCTGGGCACACCCAGCTGTGCTCCGTGCTGATGCGGCAGATGTGGTCGGGCCCCAGCTGTGCCTGCTTCCCCGGGAGGGGGGAGGGACCGCAATCTGCTCCCCGCTAATGGCTGCAGAGTGCCAGGGGAGGGGGTGGGGCTTGGGAGGGGGCGCCTGCTGCCCCCCCCCCGTGTCCTCCCCTACCCCCCCCACCCCGGCGTCCGCGTTCTTGGCTGGGCCGCTTCCCCTAGCTGGCTCCGCGGAGCCCATCCAATTCCTGTCCTCACTCAAGTCCCTGTCCCCAGCTCTCTCTCTCTCTCCTCCCGTCGCCCCATCCAGCTTGGTGCCAGGGACCCGCCCCCCCCCCCCACCCCACACACTCCCCGGCCCCCAGCTCGCTCCCCCTCGCTGATTTTACAGAATAATCTTTTTATGGAAACCGAAAAAAAAAAGCGCTAATGGCAGGAGCGCACCCCTCCCCCGCATCCCTCCCCCCCATCACCCCCCCACCTCCCTTGGTTCTTCCTTCCCTACCCTTCCCAGCGACACCCCATCCCGGCCCTTCAGAGCCAAGGAGGTCCCGGTGGCGGAGGTGGTGGTGAAGGGGGCTTCCAGGCCTGCTTTCCCCTCCGCACGCAGGCGCGGGGAGGGTGGGGGGCACCCCCAGATCCCCTCACTTCTCCTCGGATGCCTCTGTGGGCACCCCAACCCCAGCATACACACACACACACACACACACACACACACACACACACACCAGCAGCGCCGTGGGCCCGGGCCCCAGCTTCCAAAGACCTCAGTCTCCCCAACCCCCTCCTGGCCCAGGCACTGACCCTTTCCCCTTCCAGAGCAGCCCCAACTGGGCCCCCCCCATCACTGAGCCCCCAGGGGGGTCCCGGGGGCCAGGGCCTGACACAGACTTATTGGATTTCACGGTGTTTTGCTGAGAAAATAATTAAATTATCATATTTATGATGGAGCTGCCATGGCCCCTGCCAACCACTCGGAACAGACGGGTCAGGGCTGGGGGAGGCGAGGGGGGTGCGGGGGCGGTCACCCCAGGCTCGCAGGAGGCAGAGGTGTCCCCAGTTAGCCCCCACAGAGAGGTGACCCGGTCTAGGGGGTGGGGATGGGGGAGGGGGGGCGGGGTGATGGGTCAGGTCTGCTAACAGGGTCCTTCGGGCCCCTGTACGGGCTGCAGGGATGGGGCGTGGAGGTGACTAGAGGTCCAGGTCTTCCCCCCACCCCCGCCCCGGGGGGTCCCCTCTTGGTGCCACTCCCCAGGCCAGGCCATGCTGGCTTCTCCCAGCCTCGCGGTAGCTCCAACCCAGCCCTGGGCTCTGTCCCAGTCGCTGGTACTGATCGCAGGGCCCCCCACCGCCTGCCACCCAGCCTGCTGCCAGGACCCCTTTCCCCTCCCCCCCGGCCCCCCCATTCTCTTCGGGTAATTAGATTCCTCTCAATTAGCAGATTACGATCATTACCAGCTCATCTGGCAACTAAACTCCGCACCCACAGCTGGGGAAGGGGGGTGGTACGGGAGGGTCACGGAGAGGCAGCAGAGGTGGTGAGGTCCTCAGGGGTCACCCCGCGATGAGGGACAGGAGGCCCACCCCTCCTCCAGGGCCGTTGCCAGAGTGCGGGGAGGTGCCCCGGGCCCCCTCCCGCGTTGGCACAGAGCATACCCGAGGCGCTCTAGAGGTGGGCACTGGTTCAGGCCTCCCCCCCTCCCGGACCCCCTCCACCCCCGTCGTCAGGGGAGCAGAGAACAGACACCAGGGAGAACCCCCCCACCACAGCTCCCCAGAGCCGGGCAGCAGCAGATGGAGCTGGCAAAGCAGAAAACGGGCCGGGCTGGGGCCCAGCAGGCGGTGCGGAGAACGGGGCTGTGGGGTGGGCCAGGCTCCTGGGCCCCGGGCAGGGGCTGCCGCCCGCACCTCACTGCCCAGCCGAGATCCGTCCTCCTCCCCTCTGGAAGCCAGGCCCAGTGAAGAGGAACAGGGAGGCGGGCAGGGGTGCGGGCGGGGCTGGGGGCTGGGGGGGTATGGGGGTGGGAGCCACAGGGGCCTTCCCTTCCTTGGAGCTGGGGAGAGGCTGAGGCCTGGGTGGGCAGGGGGGGTGTTACCAGGCTACCAATTCATTATTCATGAGCCCGCAGCAACGACTCCAATTTAAATGCTAATGTGGGGGGGCCTGACTCAGCGGGCCCCCCCTTCCGCCCCCACCCCCAGCCCAGGCACGAGCGGAGCCCAAGCTGGCTCGAAGTTCACTGGGGTTTATTGGGGAGCGGAGGGGAGGCCCATGACCCTCCAGGGGCCACCCACATTGCTCCCAGCGGGTGAAGGTCCTGCCGGCCCCTCCCTGCCCCTCTCCTCAGGCCTTTCTGGACCGAAGCCGGGGCATGGGCAGGCACGGGCGGGCTCGGCCAGCCGGCCGGGAGGAGTTGGGAGGCCTGGAATGCGGCCCCCCTCAGAGGATGATCTGGTTGGTGAAGCTCCGGCTCAGTTCCTTGTGTGGCAGAACAATGGAGTTCAGGATGAGCACCTCCGCGGGGATCCGGACGCGGCAGCCTGCAGTGTGGACGAGCACCAGGAGAGGCCCCGGATGGGGAGGGCAGGCCAGGCTGGCCACCGCCCTCCAGGAGGGACCCCCCCGCGGGCCTGCCCATCTGTGGCCTGGCCACATGCCCCTGTGATTCACACGGGCCTGGCACACAGCAGGCGCTGGGCAAATGTTTGCTGAAGGGGACGTGTGCTTGAACACACACGAACACACACAGCACGGACACGCACACATTCACACACATACACACACATGCACACAACAGGCAGGAACGCACACATGAGCACACACACAGGAGCATGTACGCACAAAGAACAGGGATGAGCATATATGTGTACACACACAGAAAACAGGCATGAGCACACACAAGAGCATGTACGCACACACCTGAGCACACAGCAATGAACACACGAGCGTGAGTATTTCTGGACACAGGAAGGAGTGTGTGCACACACGATGATGCAGGGATGGATACACACAAACATGCACACACACACACACACACACGTGTGCATGGGGAGCACACAGGCACACACGGGGCCTGGCGCCCCTACCCAGGATGGTGATGGCCGGCAGCAGCTTCCCGTCCTTGAAGAGGCTCTCGCTGTCCATGTGGGCTCGGGGGTCGTTGGGGTTGGGGTCATTGGGGGTCCCCTCCACGCGGGCCCAGCGCCCCACCGTGCTCCCCCAGCCCACGATGCTGTGCAGGACACACGTGTGCTCCTGCCAAGGGGGCGGGCGGGAGGTGAGTGGGCAGAGGCCGCTGCATGCCCCCCAAGGGTCCCCGCGCCCCGTCCCCCCGGAGAGGGGCCCACCTGCAGCACGGCGCCATGGAGCACGATGGTCTCGCGCAACCGCACGCCCTCGCCCACCACCACGCCCTCCCCGATGGAGACGTTGGGGCCCAGCTGCGGAGAGGAGAGAGTGAGGCCCCCTGAGTCCTGGGGGAGGCTGTGTGCCCTGAGCCCAGTCCCCACCCCCCCCCAGGGTGGAGCCAGTCCTGCGGCCCTCCCCCTCCACTCCTGGCGGCCTCCTCCCTCTGGCTGGCAGGGCAGCCACTCACCACAGCCGAGGGGGCCACCTTAGCCGTCGGGTGGATATAGACGTTTCCTAGAATGCGGAAGAGAGGTCCTTGGGGAGACCAAGGCCCCACCCCAGACCCCCCCACGCATGGGGCACTGAGGGCAGAGGAGGGGGCCGTTTAGGAACTGGGGGTACCTCGAATCCATGGACCCCCCGGGCTATGTTTGGCGAGGCGTTCAGGGTGGGTGAGCTGGTACTGGCTCAGGTAGAGGCGGGAGGCGTAGAGGGCTGAGCTGGGGGCCGGAGGATGGAGTGAGCACGGCAGGGGCGGCCCGGAGAGCCCAATTCCCCCCCCTCCCCACCCCCACCCCCTTACCCAGCAGACTTGATCTGGCTCCAGACCCCGTCAGTGAGGTGCACGTAGATCTGGCCCTGTCCGGCCAGCACCGAGAACACGTCCTGCTCCAGGCGGATGGTGCCTGCCCCCGGCCACAGGCCCGACGTGCCATCCCTGGCGGGAGAAGGGGTGAGCAGGGCGGGGAGGGGGATCGGGAGGGCAGGCTCCCCCAGGGACTCCCACCCCCGGGGAGGGGGGGCTCTCCCAGCTGGCGTGCTCTGGCGGGGAGCCCCAGGTGTGTCAATCAAAACCGACAGCCCCTCCCTGGGGTCACGAGGCCTTGGCACCCACCCCGCTGTCTGCCCTGCCCTCCCGCTAGCTGGACCGACGGAACGAGGCGGACTCACCCCGGAGAGAGGCAGCTGGTGAGGGCAGAAAGAGAGAGGAGAGGGAGATGGAGAGAGGCTGGCTCGAGGGGGGACAGGAGGAGGCCCCGCGAGACCGGACGGACAGACAGACAGAGGCCCAGACATGGGTGCAGGTGATGCGGCCTGAGAGGGAGAGGGCAGGTGGGGGGAACCGAGAGTGGGGTCCCCCCCGAGGCTGGCCAAGGAGGGGAGGCCTGTCCCCTTGGGGAACTGGGGCTGGCGGGGGTGCTCAGGGTGCTGTGCTCTGAGTCCGAGCGCGCCTGCTGCCCTTCCTTCTGAAAGGCATCTCGGGGACACGCGCGCGGGGCTGGAGAGGAAGGGACCAGAGGGGGCGTGGCGGGCGGCAGTGGTGGCAGCAGCGGGTGACAGAGAAGCAAGTGGGATGGAGAAGGAAGAGGGACAGAATGAGGTTAGAAGGGGCGGGCGGGCTGGGAGGCTGGGCCGGGAAGGAGAAGGAAGGTGAGCTGGTTGAGGTGGGGGGGGGCCCTCCCGGGGTGCGGCGGGGGAGAGGGTGGGCTGTGCCTGGGACTAGGGGGCCCGCCTCACAGGTGCCCGTCCTGCTGGTTGCGCTGGAAGACCTCACGGAGGGGCTTCAGGGCTTCGGGGGAGAACAGGTAGATGCCACAGTTGATGATGTCGCTCACAAATGTACTGGGCTTCTCCACGTAGTGCAGGACCTGAGGTGCAGAGGGCGCTTGGAGGGGCGCCTGCCAGCCCCCCACCCCCTGCCCGAACTCCCCTGACTGCTGCGAAGACCCGGGCAACCTGGCCCCATGTCTCCCCTTCGCAGGCCTTCACCCGGACCCTCCCTCTTCCAGGCCGGCTTTCAGTTCAGGCCTCTCCTCCTCCAGGGAGCCCTCCCCAGTCCCCAAGCAAGGCTGGAGGGGCCCCTTGTGCTCTCAGCCCCCTTGCCCCCCGCCCCCCAGGAGCGGGGCATACCGATCCCCTGGCTGTGGCCTGACCTCTGGGGGAAACACAGGGTGATTGATGGGGGGGGGAAGGGTGCACGCCCCAGTGGAGGAGGCCCAGGGCAGACATCCCCCCTCCCCCCGCCAGCCCCCTCTGCCTGCTTACCTCGTGTGTCTGCGGGTTCTCCACGATGCAGCCGTAGTTGAGGGACTGCGTCCTGTTGGCCTGGAAGACAGCGGCCGAGATGGTGACCCAGCGGGCCATGACGTCCCCTCCCGAGCCTGCCCGCACGGCACCGGCACCTGGCACGCAGCTCACTGTCAGGCCTGTCAGCCCCAGCCTGGTGACAGCCGACAGCTGCCCTCCCCTTCCCGACTGGAGCCACCGCCACGGCCACCGAGGGGCCTCCCCCTCCCACACTGCTGGCCCTGCCTGGAGGGAGACCTCCCACCCCCCACCCCACTCCCTGCTGCTCTCACCGTGGTGCCCAGGAGCAGGAAGGGGCGCGGCTGGCGCCTGTGGGCGGCCAGCATGGCGGTCAGCGGGAAGTCAGAGCAGACATCCGCGTTGAGCACGAAGAAGGCCTCGGGGCTGCCTGCCAGGATCTGGTCCCGGAAGTGGTAGAGCCCCCCGCCGGTGCCCAGGGGAGCGAATTCCTGCAGGTACCTGTGCCCAGGCGCACCCCCACCAGAGTCAGCTCAGTGAGAGCAGAACGGGGGCCGGGGTGGGGGGTGGCTGGCCCCTCCTGTTTCCAGCACTCCCATCTTGCAAGGCCCATAAAGCAAAGGACACTATTGGCAGTATCAGAATACAGGGGCCTGCTGGGGTGTGGGGGGCCCGCACCCTTGCACGCGCGCGAACACCTGATGGGAAGGTTGAACTCCTGCTGGGCGCCTTCCAGGAAGCGGGTGAGGGCCTCGTCCGGCTGGTAGAAGCCGATGAGCAGGATCTCCTGCATCCCGGGCACCTGCAGACAGCGACAAGCCGACAGGAGGGAACTTTGGGGAGACCCGGATGAGAAGCAAAGGTTGGCCTCCGTGGTGGGGCCCTCTGCATCATCCCCCACTCTGGCATGTGGAGCCCCCAAGTTTCCGTTCTGGGGTCAGAGAGCAAGTCCAGCGGGGAGGGCAGCTGCCTCAGCCACTCCCCACCTGGGTTTGACCCTGGCACCCCATATGATTCCCGCCAGGAGTGCTCCTTGAGAGCACAGCCCGGGGTAAGACCCCAGCAGTGCTGGGTATGCCCCCCTAAACACCAAAATAATAAAAATAAATTTTAAAATATTAAAAAGTTTTCCTTTTTCTGGGGCTGGAGTGATAGCACAGCAGGTAGGGCGTTTGTCTTGCATGCGGCCCAACCCGGATTCGATTCCCAGCATCCCATATGATCCCCTGAGCACCGCCAGGAGGAATCCCTGAGTGCAGAGCCAGGAGTAACCCCTGTGCATCGCCGGGTGTGACCCAAAAAGAAAAAAAAAAAGTTTCCCTTTTTCTCTATAGCCCCCACACCCTGTTCCTCCTATATCTGAAAAACCACCATCAGTTTCCCCCATATTTGCCTAGGGACCTGGAGGGCAGCACGAGGCAAGGAGACCATTTTATTTATTTATTTATTTATTTATTCCTTTTTGGGTCACACCCAGCAATGCTCAGGGGTTACTCCTGGCTTTGCACTCAGGGATTACTCCTGGCAGTGCTCAGGGGATCATATGGGATGCCGGGGATCGAACCCGGGTCGGCCGCGTGCAAGGCAAACGCCCTCCCTGCTGTGCTATCGAAGGAGACCATTTTATCGAGTTTGTGGTGGGGCAGCACTTAACACTCATCATGGGGAAGCTTTGTCAGCCTAGAGAGTAGGCTGAAGCCCTGGCCCACCCCCCCAAACACTCCCCCCCATTTTACAAAGAAGAAAATTAAGCTTTAGAAAGGCTGAGAAGGGCTGGAGCAATAGCACAGCGGGTAGGGCATTTGCCTTCCATGTGGCCGACCAGGGTTCGAGTGCATGAGCCAGAAGTAACCCCTGTGCATCTCCGAGTGTGACTCAAAAAGAAAAGAAAAAAAAAATAGAAAGGCTGAGAAATTTGTTCAAGTCCCTGCATCAGACAGAGGCTAGAATCAAATATACTCTTGCTGTACCAGAGCAATAGTACAGTAGGTATGGTGCTTGCCACACACACACACACACACACACACACACACACACACACACTCACACAGAGGAATGGATTCTGAGTAGAGACGGGAGCTAGAGTATGGGGGGAGGCGCTTGCCTTGCATGCACCTGAATTTGATCCCCACCACCATGTATGGGTCCCCCGAGCCCCGCTGGGAGTAATCCCTGAGTACCATAGAGTGCGCTCACTCCCCCCCCCCCCCCCAAAGTGACAGGATGAGACTAGAGGAGGGGGGGGAAAGAGAGCGAAGTTGCTGCAGTGCACAGAGAATGCTCCAGAGGGCGCCATTCTCAGGTTCCTCCAATAGTCCTGGTGGGAAAAGGTCATGGGCGGAAAAGAGGAAAGACCGCAAGAAAGGGATGAGCAGGAAGTTACCTGGGCACAGGCTTCAATGTGGTGCTGGATCATAGGGACCCCCGCCACTGGAAACAGGGGTTTGGGCACCTCAAAAGACAATGGCCTGAAGCGAGTCCCTGGGAAAGGTGAGAGCAATTGCAGATCCGCTTCCTGACGCCCCACTACCTCCGCCCTCCCCCCAACAACTCCATCCAACCTCCTCCACCCACTTTCCCTGGGCTCCTCACCCTTCTGGGGGCCTCCAATCAGGATCACGGCTTTGAGCATGGCAGCACTTGCTCCCTAAACCTTAAATCCCAACAGAGAAATCAGTTCAGACCTCGCACTTCAATTCGGGAATGTTCCTTAGAGCCCCTCCAAACCCCGCCAAAGCACCTCTCAGCCCTCTGCCCCAACAGCAATCCAAAGTTTCGATATGACTCCTCCCTGGACACACCTCCCCAAGCCCCACAACTTCTCAAATCCCAGCCCCGATTTCACTTGGGCTTTCAGGCCCCACGATCATTCCTCTCCAGTCCTGAAATCCACCTGGCAAGTGTGATCCCTAACAGCAGCCCTCTGGCCACTCACTCAATAACTCCAGACCCCCTATCTCGGACCTAAAGACTCAAAACCAAGGGGAATCCCACGCTCGCTTATCTCGCTTTCGATGTTAAGCCCTGAATCCCAGCACTGAGCCCTGAATATTAAACTTCCAATGTGGAGAGAGCCCCAGATACTTAACTAAAATCCTGAGTGAATCCCCAGTATTGAACGAATGCAGATGTGTCCCCTGATGAATCCCAAATCCTACCCAACCCACCCCCTCCATCTGCGCTGAGTTCTGCGTCCTAAAAACTGACCTCCCAATGATGATGATGATGATGATGATGATGATGCCTGAATCAAATGACAGGTGCCTTTGGCATGCCAAACACCGAATCCACCAAGCCTCAGAGCCGCAATAACGACGAAAAGCGCTGGAGCTCTCTCTGGGGCTGGAGGATTGACGGCTGGCCCTGGAAACCTACAGCTGGCGGTCAAAAAAAAAAAACCCAAACTCCAGATGCCAGGGGTCGCGGGAGCCACACGGGGGCGGGGACGTGCGGAGAGCCACCCGGGCCCACTGAGCCTAGCCTCGGTTTAGGGGTTGACCTCTCTCCTGCCCCCTCTTTCGCCTCCCGGGCATCGGCTCCTTTTGCCACCAGCTCCCTTTATTCCAGAGCTGCCGCCCGCTACTGCGAGCTCCTTCCGCGCACGTGTCTTCTCGCTCCTCGCGAGAGCTCCTTCGCAGAGGCTGCCGGGAATTGTAGTCCTTCCACCTCCCCAGGCTCCGAAGCGCGAGCCACGAAATTGACAAGGGGCGTAGCCAAGGGCTCGAGGTGGGGCAGATCCAAGCGAGAAGGGTGGGATCTAAGCAGCAGTGACTGTTACCTAAGACCGCAACCTTGTGTAGGTAGCCCGGGAATAGACTCCAAGGCAGCAGCCCAAGGAAGGAGAGAGCTGCTTTTTTTTGTTCGTTTTTTTTTTCTTTTTTTGCAGTCACACCCGGCGATGCACAGGGGTTACGCCTGGCTCTTCACTCAGGAATTACTTCCTGGTGGTGCTCAGGGGACCATATGGGATGCTGGGAATCGAACCCAGGGGTCGGCCGCATGCAAGGCAAACGCCCTGCCCGCTGTGCTATTGCTCCAGCCCCCGAGAGAACTCCTTCTACAAAACAGAAACGACTAGGGGTCCGAGGGATAGCATAGAGGGGGAGGGCGCTTGCCTTGCACACGGCAACCCGGGTTGGATTCCTGGCACCCCACACGGTCCCCCGCCCCACCTCCCACCCCGAACTCTCCAGGAGTGACCCCTGAGCATAGAGCCAGGAGTAAGGTCTGAGCACCACCGGGTGTGGCTAAAGCACAGAAACAGGACTGGAGCGATAGATAGCACAGCGGGTAGGACGTTTGCCTTGCACGCGCCCGACTCGGGTTCGATTCCCAGCATCCCACATGGTCCCCTGAGCACCGCCAGGAGTATCTCCTGAGTGCAGAGCCAGGAGTAACCCCTGAGCATTGCCAGGTGTGACCCAAAAAGCAAATAAATAAATAAAACACAGAAACAAAATAGAGATGACCGGGAGAAAGCGGGGCTAGGGACAAGAGGGGGTGGGATCAACTCTGAGGATGATGCTCCGCCCTCTGGGAGCTGAAGGCGTGGCTGACTGTGAAATCAAGCACTAAACTAGGCACTCTGCAATCTGTGAACTTGATACTGCTATTGATATGTCACACTGAACTAAGTGTGTGTGATGGAAGAGGGAAGGGTACCTGGAACAGAAGGAGGATCAGAGAGAAACTATTTTTATAAAGCAAGAGAAAGGTTGTCGGTTCCACCCCTCCCCATACCTCTTCCCTCCCTCCCACCGCCCGGGCTCTAGAGAAAGGTCTGAGGATCCCTTTCAGGCCACGTCCAGCCTGTTCCCCAGGTACAGCTCGCGTTTGTGGATCGGCGTGCACTGACGGTTTTAAGTGCGCCCTGGAGAGCGGAGGTCACCAGATCGTTTACAAGCGCCCTGGAGGGGCTCATTTAACAGCACAGACCCGCCCCGGCTCATTCCGGTGGGTTTCTGGGCTCTGTCCCGCCCACCCTCCAGCTCCAGGCGAGCTGCGGCCTCGGGTCACTGCCCTTCCCTGTTGGTCCTCTGGCAAAATCCTTTCCATCTCGACCCAGCCCTTTCGGGAGCGAACTCGCCGAGGTCGGCGTCTCCGAGGTGCCTTGGCGCGCCTCCGTGTTCCTTGGTACCCTTTGAATCTTTGCTGCAGGAACCAGGGGAAAGGGACAAAGGACCAGGAGTAGCTCAGCGGGCAGGCGGGCAAGCGTATCAGCGCACCACCGAGCAGCTGGCCCTCACGGCGAGACGCGATGCGTTCAAACTCACAGTGTGTTGTGCCTTTGGGCGCAACCTTCCAGGGGCTTCATCTCCTCGCTAATTATACGGGGCTCATCGCAGCCCCTCCAGTTCGCGAGATAGATTGTTGCAGGGTCAAAGAGAAACTAGGGGGTGGGGTGGGGGGCGGGAAGCTCAGGAATGTCTCTACATCGCATAGTGCCTTAGCTCCTGGAGCCAGAAGCCAGCACAGATCCCTAATTCGGGTTCGCTGTGACCTTGAGGCCCTGGGTCGTCTACTTAGCGCGGGTAGGAAGGGATCGCAGGTCTAACGCCTTGGACACAGTCCAGAGTGAGCTGGCCACGACGGGTCTCCGTAGGCCCCCGCTGCAAAACGCGCGCAGCTTGCACCGGGCGGGCGCCCTCCTGGGTGGTCGGTGGTGCCCCTCTGCGCACTGGCACTGCGCCCCGGGCGCACCCACTCTCCACGAGGCTTCGCGCAGAGTCGGAGCACTGGAGGAAGGGGATGGTTACATGGTGTGGTGGATGCTATGTAGATAGCCCAGGCGGGCGAGCTCGCTGTTACGCACCACCAGTGCGACGGCGTCAGGGTCCTGGAAGACCGAGCGATCCCGGCTTGAGTGTGGCACGCAGCTCCGGCGGGATGAATGGGTCCAGGAGAGCCGAGACGCCGCAGGTCCGCTTGACCCTGTTCCCTTTCATCAGCACCACGTCAGCCAGCTGCTCCAGCACCCGCCGCGGCCCCTTCTCCTTCCGGGACTTCGCCGCTGGCTGGGTGGGGACTAGGGCGTGCCCGAGCGGCGCCACAAAGCTCCAGAGTCGCCAGCAGCGCTGGCCACAGGCAAACTGCCCCCTGCTGGCACCCTCGCTCCCTAAACCCCGACTGAGAGGGGTGCGCACAAAGGCTACTCTGCTAAAACGGTAGATCTACCTGTGTCCTCCCCTCCTATGCTACCAACCGCTATGCCCAGGGTCCCTTAGCACCCCCTGACCCTGTGCTCAGGCTCCCACCTTCCCAGGGCTTCCCCTCACCAGCGGCCCAGATGAGAGACCTGGAAGCAAATAGCTGTGTTCTGGATGGGGGTGGGGTCACTAATGTCCAGGGTACATTCTGGAGGCAGGCTGTAGCCACGGTTTTTGTTTTTAGCTGCTTTTGACAGAGACTCGGACCTTCAGCCTTCTCCTCTGCCCTCCCCCAATTAAGAACATGCCAGGGAATGTCAAAGGTCGGCTTAGAGGCTGGAGAGATAGCACAGGGGAAAGGGCGTTTGCCTTGCACGTGGCCGACCTGGGTTCGGGTTCGATTCCCAGAATCCCATATGGTCCCCTGAGCACTGTCAGGAGTAACCCCTGAGTGCAGAGCCAGGAGTAGCCCCTGTGCATTGCCGGGTGTGATCCAAAAAGAAAAAAAAAAAAAGATCGGCTTACAGTTGGGGACTCACCTTGGGGGGAGTCAACTTCAGGTCCTGGGTCCTCTAACAGGCTTTACAGAGCCCGTGGGGATGGCACTGTAGGGGTACAGGCAACTGCTCAGCCCTGAACCCTGGGCTTTTGCTTGTTTGATTTTGTTTCTTGGGCCAAGAACCGTTCTTTGCCAAGGACGGGCACTGCACAGGGATTACTCCCGACTCTAACAGGGAGTTAGAGTCAGTGCTCAGGGATCACTCCTAGCAGGCTCAGGAAACTATATGGGATGCTGGGACTCGAACCCGGTTCAGCTGTATGCAAAGCAAGTTGTCCTCCCCGCTGTACACGGCTCAGGCCCCGAGCCGTGACTTTATACAGAACTCCGCTCCTTGCTCGGTTTGACATGTCTGGCGCCCCCTGCCCCGTCCCTCCAGTTACTTCCCCTGGGAAACGGGTCCGAGTATTTGCAGCAGGCGTCCCACGACTCAGCCCGAGGAGCGGCTGACTCCGCTGGCCGCCCCGCCAATCAGAAGGCTTCCACGTAGCTGTCAGGACCAATCACGAAGCGACTTCTCCCCTGACCCCGCCCCTCCCCCCATCGCCGCAGCCCCCGAGAGTCTAGAGCTGTCATTTCCACATACACTGCCCCCTGGCGGTAAACTGAGATAAACCTGGAGGGGCCCGAGGAGGAGCTTTGTCCTGAGGCGGAGTGGGTACCACCTCTCCATCCCTTCCAACTCCACTCTTCTTCTCCCCGTGACCGGCGAGGGCCTGTCTGTCTGGGCTGTTCTTCTGCACAGAGATGGACAGTAATAAGCACTCCTCCAACTCTAGATCTGCTCAGGCCCTTTGCGGGGCGTAAAATGAGGTACAGGGTCAGCCGACCACACCTGCTGTGAAGTTTCCGACCCCCCACCCCATCCGAGACTTGCTGGGACTCCAGTTTCCGGGGGGGGGCAAGGAACCAGCTGGAGCGCCGCTCCTGTTCACTGTCACCGCAGTTCAGGTGTGGCGTGCGTGCTGTCTCCTTAGATGAGAGTCATTTTGACACGACTGTGCTGACATAAATTACCGTCGCTCCTCCGGGTTTGGAACAAGCAGTTCACATGCCATTTCCAATGGAGATGGGAAGGGAGCTCAAGATCGAGGCGGGGGTGGGCTGTAGAGGAAGTCTGCCACTTTCCAAGGTACCGGTTCAGGCAGCGCGTTTTTATCTGGAAACACTTGCCGCCGTGTGCGGGGGATTCGGGACCCTCCCAGGCAAACGGTAGATCTTCATCGCTGTCATGACAGGTGGGCACAGCAGCGCTCGGTCCCTTCCAGCTGGCTTTAACATTCTGTTATTTTATGATGATGGGGTTTGCTTCTTCCCCTGGGGGCGGGGTCTGAGGAGCCAGAGAGGCTGGGCTGGGCAAAGGGTTGTTTGGATTCTAGCCAAGCAGCCCTCAACCTCAACTGGCACGCACAAGCCAGCTCCCTCTGATTATGGAGAGAGCCTTTATTATTATTTTTTTTTTGCCAAGGACCGTTTTCTAGACAGGGAGGGAAGGAAGCAGTCCCTCTGGATGCTGGGGAGACTGGAACTGTTCCCCTGTCCCCAGCCCCTTGGGATAGGGTAGTTCTTCCCTGGCACCTGGCACACCCCCTAAGTAACCCGGAAACTGGACCCAGGACCCTAAGGAAATGCTCATCTGTGTCCCCCTTCACACTGCCCTGTGCTGAGGGTGTCCCTGTGTCCCGATTGTGCCTTTGCGGTGCATCACATCTGCTGTTCTTGTCAAGCATGATGAACCCCCTTCTTGTTCATCAGGGGTCATAGCCTGACCCCAGTTAAGGGCAAAGGCCACTGATCTAGGATTGGGGTGTGAGCTGGTCCATTCCAGAACCCACGTCCCGGGGCAGGAGTGATAGCACAGCAGGTAGGGTGTTTGCCTTGCACGTGGCCAACCTGGGTTCAATCCCTGGCATTCCCTATGGTCCCCCGAGCACTGCCAGGAGTAATTCCTGAGTGCAGAGCCAGGAGTAACCCCTGAGCATCGCCGGGTGTGAACCAAAAAACAAAACAAAGAAACAAAAAAACCAAAAAACCCCCAACCAAACAACAGAGCCTGTGTCCTCCGTGGGGTGATGGTGAGAGGGGGCGCAGAGTGGCACAAAGGTGGTCCTACCAGGATTCCAGTACGTTCTGAGGGAGAGGCAGAGTGAAGTTTCTCTGCCCTTTAGGACCAGGGGAGAGGTCAGGGCTGGGCACTCCTTGGCTCCAGCCGCCCAGAGTAGCTGGAACGTCCACCCCTCCCCCCTGCAATCCCCTCCCCTCCACGCTGCCCCTGCCCGGACACCACACGTAGGTCCTGCTGCTTGCCATTTTTATTTCCCTTGTGACAGACAGACAGACAGACAGCTGCATGAACAGCTGGGTGGCGGGGGAGGGGAGGAAGGTTGACGGGGGTGGGGGGTGGGGGTGGCGGGGGGTGGTCAGGACAACTTGGGCGACAGGGACTGGGTGGAAGGAAAACTTCACAAAAGTCAATAAATAAATAAACACAAATGGGGAGAAGGACGAAGGCCACAGAAGGGTCTTGGGGTCGCCCTTGGGCCAGCACCCAGAGGGCAGCCTCTCGCGCATGTCCACCACTGGTCCTCTCCCTCTTCCTCTTCCTTCTGGGGGCGCTGGCCCCTGACTTCCTGCGTCCCCTCCACGTCCTCTTTCCCTCACGTGCCGCCCTCGCCCCTCCACACGCGGGCACTGGCTCCCTGGCACTCTCCTACGTCCTGTTCCTGCGTCTCCGTTCTTCCTGTCCAGGGCGTGGCCCTGGGCTCCTTCCTTCCTGGCCTCTCCAGCTAGTTGGGTGCCTCACACCCCGATGCACACTGTCTCCACCCCCCGCCCCACACACACCCGCGGGACCTTCTTGGTCTCCCCTCCCCAGCCCGCAGATTCTTGCTCGCCCCCTGCCCTTCTCGCCCTTTCCTGCTCCACCAAGGCCCAGCCCGGCCCGACGGGGGTGCCCCGCTCTGGCTCCGGCCCGGTGGTCTGCCGGAGCCTGGGGCCGCTGTGCCCGCAGGTCCATGAGGTAAGAGCCCCGCCGGATGTTGCTGCTGGTGGTGTCTGAAACCCGGGAGGGCTCCCGGCTCAGCGTGGGCCCTGGAATGGAGCCCCGAGTCGAAGCCCGAGGCTGGCTGGGGTCCGAGCCGCTAGGGGTTGCCCGGGTAGGAGCGCAGCACCACCTTGTGGCGGGTGGCGGCCTCGGTGCGGCGGCGCCGCTGCTCGCTCAGGAACTCCTTGAGCCGGTTGGTGGTGAAGGTGAGCGTCTGGCGACGCAGCTTCATCAGGTAGGCGTCCTGCAGCCACGGGTGGGCCAGGCAGTCCTGCAGCGACGGCCGGCTCCTGCCGGGGTCGGGGGGAGGAGGCATTGAGGCCGGGCCAGCGCCCAACAAGACCGCACCCCTGGCCGGGCCCCTGATCCTCCCAGGGACGGCTGGGACTGGGCCCCCGGCAACTCAGGGAGCTCAGAGAACGGGGACAGTGAGTGATTCTGCCTGTCTCCCAGGGCTGTTCCAGGCCACCAGCAGGGGGCGGTACAGTCAGGAAGAGAGAGCAAGAGCAGGGGTGAAGTAAGGATGTGAAGTATGAGTAGTTGGGGCTGGAGTGATAGCACAGCGGGTAGGGCGTTTGCCTTGCACACAGCTGACCCGGGTTCGATTCCCAGCATCCCATATGGTCCCCTGAGCACAGCCAGGAGTAATTCCTGAGTGCAGAGCCAGGAGTAACCCCTGTGCATCGCCGGGTATGACCCCCAAAGAAAAAAAAAGTTTAAAAAAAGTATGAATAGTGACAGGAGTAACAGTACTAGAGTAACACGAGACCTCCAACTTCCAGGACTCAGGCATAAGCAGGACAGCCAGGAAGCTGAGGAAGAGTAAGAACCTGTGGTAACAGTAGCACTGTAGCGCTGTCCTCCTGTTGTTCATCGATTTGCTCGAGCGGGCATCAGTAATGTCTCCCTTGTGAGACTTGTTGATACTGTTTTTGGCATTATCGATTACAGCATGGGGAGCTTGCCAGGCTCTGGCGTGCGGGAGGGACACTCTAGGTAGTTTGCCCGGCTGAGAGGGCTGGAGGAATCGAACCTGGGTCAGCTGCGTGCAAGGCAAACGCTTACCCGCTGTGTTATTGCTCCAGCCCGTGGTAACAGTACTTGCAGTAATAGTAGCAGTAGTAATAGTAGTAACAATAATATGAGAACTCCGGCTGTTTCAGGCCTCAAGCATGGACATTGAAACCAGGTAGTGATAGGAACAATAGGAGCAATAGTAAATACATAGAGTCACTGTCACTGTCACTGTCACTGTCCTCCCGTTGTTCATCGATTTTCTCAAGCGGGCCCAGTAACGTCTCCATCGTGAGACTTTGTTGCTACTGTGTTTGGCATATTGAATAAGTCACAGGTAGCTTCCCAGGCTTTGCCGTGCGGGCGAGATACTCTAGATAGCTTGCTGGGCTCTCCGAGAGGGGCGGAGGAATTGAACTCGAGTCGGCCGGGCTGGCTGCATGCAAGGCAAATGCCCTACCCGCTGTGCTATCGCTCCAGCCCAATACATAGAGTAATAGTAATAATAGCAGCAGAAGGAAAACTCATAGTAATAGCAAAAGCATCTAAGAGAATGCGGAGTAATAATACTAGCAGCAAAAGTAAAGAAACGCATCATTGTTCCAAGCGTCACGTGTGGGTAGTACAACCATAAAGTGACAGGAAGAGTAGGAGCAGTAGTAAGGCTGGGAGTAAGAGCAGTTGTGAGAACCCGGAGTAGTGCAAGTAAGTAGCAAGAGTATGAAGTCATAGCCATAGTGGTAGCACAGTAAGAGAACTGAGTAATAACAGAAAGACTCATGGTAACAGGAGGGGGAATAAAAGAGTGGTGATGGTTAAAAAGAAAAACACAAATCTAGAAGGAATGTAAGAGTAACAGTAAAAGCAGTAAAAGATTGAGAAGCGGTAGGAAAAGTACTCGCAGTACTAGGAGAGCAGCGGTAGAGCCCGTGGGGCGGCGGCCGAGCGCCACCTGCAGGTAGGAGGAGGAGCAGGGGGCAGCCGCCCGGCCAAGGGAGGAGCTAGAGGGAACCCTGTGTAGGAGGACTTGTGGGGGGGGAGGGGAGGTCGGACAGGTGTGGGGCCCACTCACCAGGGATGGACTGAGAGGGCCTTTCGCAAGAACAGGGTGGCGCTTTGGGAGGTGTTGGGGTACAGCTGGAAGGCATCGAAGCGGCCACCCACGATCCGGGCCTCTGTTTCCTGGGGGTCTGGCTCATAGAAGGGGGAGCGTCCACTCAGCCTGTGGGGGAGACAGGGAGTTGGCGCCTGCACACCTGGGGCGGGGAGGGGGAAGGCAGAGAGCTGGGAGCGTGGCACAGAGGTGATCAGGGGCGGCTGGGTGGGGGGCACTCACATGATGTAAGTGAGCACGCCGACGCCCCAGATGTCCGTGGCAGAGCCGATGGGGTCTCCCTTCACCATCTCAGGAGCTGGCAGGAGACAGGGGGCCAAGCTGAAACCGTTTCCCGGTGGCAGGGGGCCCGAGACGGGCGGGGTGGCCTTCGGCTCAGGGCCGTGTCCCGGTCACCAGACTGGCCGGAGCACAGGCTCTGGGGCCAGCTGCCAGGTGAGGAAGGGGTGACCCGAGATGGGGGAGGGAGCAGGGCCTCTCCCTCTCCTGCCCACACTGAATTGTATGTGTGCATGCATGCGCGAGCGTGTGTGAGTGCGTGCGTGCGTGTGTGCGTGCGTGCGTGTGTGTGTGTGTGTGTGTGTGTGTGTGTGTGTGTAGGGGGGAAAGGAGAGGTCCTCAGAACAGCAGAGGAGTCGAAAACCGGGGATCACTTGCTTGCCCAAAACTGCTCGGAGGCAGGCAGCCCAAGGTGAGCAGAGCTCTGGGTCAGCCCGGTGAACCCCCCTACTCTCCCCCCTCCTCGGCCTGCCCCTCCGGGTGAGGACAATGAGAACCCACCAGCCCGTGAGGGCTGCGGTTTGTGGGCGAAGTCCCGGGCAGAGCGAATGCACATGAAGTATTTAGGAGGTCGGCGCACGGCGCTGGCTTCCCTTCTAGAACGTAATGATGGATTTCCCTGTCTTCCCTGCTTTATCAAATCCCGGCTCTACCATTTATAACTGTCTGGAATTAGACACATGCTTATTAACCTCCCTGGGCCTCTGTTTTCTCATCTGTAAAAGGGGGGTGACAGGATGCCTGAAAATATCCCAAGAATTGAGCTCTTGCAATGGTTGACAGGAGGCAACTGCTGGGGGAGGGGCTGGGGGGGGTGTGAAGGCTCTGTGAGGTGGGGGAGGGGGGCGCGAGTCATAATGATCCTTGGCACCTCGGGGTGCCCTAAGCAGCTCTGGCATTGCCCCCCTCCCCGACAAGGGCAGCTTTGGATCGGAGAGATAGTAAAGCAGGGAGGGCGTTTGCCTTGCATAGGGCCAACTTGGGTTGGATCCCGGCCCCCCCAGGGTGGTCCCCGGAGCCCTGGCAGGAGGGAGTGATCCCCGGAGTGCAGAGCCGGGAGTCGGCCCTGAGCACCGCCGGGCATGGCCCGAAACCACATGAAAAGAGACAGTCTCGGGGGCAAAGCCGGGCGTGGGGGGGGGGGACACCCTTGGTTGCCGCCATGCCACCCACCCGCCCACTCACCCATGAACTCCAGCGTGCCCGTGCGGTGCCCCAGGGGCTGCAGGGCCTGGGGGTTGTAGGGCTGGGCGCTGCCGAAGTCCACAATCTTGAGGGCGTTGTCGGGGGCCAGCAGCAGGTTGTCGGGCTTGATGTCCAGGTGCAGCACGTGGTGGCCGTGCAGGTAGTCCAGGCCCTGCAGCAGCTGGACCACGTAGGTGGCCACGTCATCCTCGGAATACCGGAACCTGGCGGGAGGGGCGGGGTGGGGGAGGGGCGGGCGATGCAGGTTACCACCGGGGCCGCCCGCTCCACCCATGCCCCTACACCGGGGGTGCTCCTGCTCCGCCCCCCTGGGCCACCCCCTCCGCACACCTGTCGCTGAGACCGCAGAGGAGCTCCCGGTTGCCGCAGCTCTCGGCGATGAGCACGAGGTAGCGGGGCGTGATGTAGGCCTCGTGCAGGGCCATGAGGCGCTCGTGGTGCAGTGCCCGCAGCACCTCGTACTCCTGCAGGACCCGCCGCCTGCCCTCGGCCGCGTATGGCACGATCTTGGCCACGAACGTCCTCCCCGTGGCATTCTCCCGGCACGTCCGCACCACACCGAAGCGGCCCCTGTACAATAAGGAGGGGATCCCCCCCCCACACACATCTAAGTTCCGAGAAAGGCGTAGGACCAGTCCTCAGTGGGGAGATGGGGGGGGGGCAGCAGTCGGGGGTGGGGGTCTCCGGCAGGCAGGAATGCCACAGGGCCCAGGGGTTCTGGGATTCAACCCCAGGAACTGGGTTTAGGTCCCAGCTCTGCCCACAGACCGGGTCTGCCTCCACACCCAGTGGTGCTCAGGGTTGACTCCTGGCCGTGTGCTGAGGAAATCACCCCTGGTGGGATGATACGGGGACCATATGGGATGCGGGGGATTGAACCCAGGTCAGCTGTGTGCAAGGCCACAGCTGCCGGACTCTCTGCCTCTAGGCGGAACCCTGGAACCTCTCTAAACCTCAGTTTTCTTTTCTTTTTTGGGGGGGGGGTCACACCCAGCGATGCTTAGGGGTTACTCTTGGCTCTGCACTCAGGGATCACTCCTGGCAGTGCTCGGGGGACCATATCGATCGAACCTGGGTTGGCCATGTGCAAGGCAAACACCCTATCCGCTGTACTATCGCTCTGGCCCCTAACCTCAGTTTTCTTGTTGGGGAAATGGGTGACAATCATGCAGCCTCCCTCCCTTTCTGAGTGGGGGGGTCGTGAAATGAGCTCCCAGGGCAAATGCTCGTCATATTCGGATTTGGGGGTGCAGCTTCCTGGCACCCTACCAGACCATCGTCTTTGCTCTGGACCCTGAGTGCACCCCCATCCCCCCAGTCCCCGGACCCCAGCCCCGCTCACCGGGCTTTCTCCTCCAGGAAGGTGTAGGGCTTCTGGGGAGGACCCTGCCGAAGAGTGGTGCCCTCGGGCCCTGGAGAGCTGCGGGGGGAGGCCCCGCGGGGCTCCTGTGCCTCTGTGGCCGGGCTAAGGCTCTGCCCGGTCTCCTGGGTGGGTGCAGGTGTGGGCTCGGGGGCGGGGGGCGCAGACACGAACGATGTCACCAAGTACAAGGGCGAAGAGGGGGCCGCAGCTTTTACTCCTTGGGGGCTAGGGGCCGGGGCAGGGGTCCCCCCATCGGGGAGGGAAGCCCCAAGCTCACTTGTGGTGACTTGGGCGCTGGCAGGGGTGGGCCCTGCTGGCCGGGCAGCCTGCAGGCCCCTGTGCTTTCGTGGGGGGGTGGCGGGGGGTGGACCCACGGCCTTGAGTGAGGGCAAGGCCTGGCGGGGGGATGGCGGCGGCTGGGGCGATGAGGGGCTGGGCGCCGTCGTCGTCGGGGAGGCTGGCGCCATGGGAGCTGGGCTGGGGCTGGGGGACGGGGCCAGTGAGGTAGGTGAGGCGGGAGGCGGGGCCCTGGCCGGCCCTGAGGTAACAGGGACATCTCGAGCGATGGAGGGCGGAGCTGAGGAATCTTCGGGGAGACAGAAAAAAAAAGTCACCCAGGGGTATCCAGGGGGGCGGGGGGGGCTACCTGGGCTGCTCCCCCCTACCCCGTACCGCTGACCACTGACCTGGCACTGCCCTGATGAGGACCTTCTCAGAAGGGTTGCTGAAGGGCCCCTGGCCGGCGCGGTTGGTACAGGCCACGCGGAACCTCACGGGGATCCCGATGGGCAGCTGGGTGGCGTTGTAGTAGCAGTCAGGGATGCCCGCGCTCACCGGGTGCCAGGCCGACTCACCTGCAGGGGGGGAGGCGGGCAGGGCTGAGGCCGGAGGGGTGTTTCCTCCGGTTCCCAGGGCACGTGTGTGGGGCAGGCACGTCCTTCCGGGAGAGCCCCCCCCAGGGTCCCCCTCCTCTCCCCGTCCACCCCAGGCCTCACCCTCCACCCGCCGCTCCAGAGTGTAGGTGCAGGGGGCCCGGCCATCCCCTGGTTTCCACAGCACCAGCGCCGTGTCCTGGTAGGTCTGGGGCACCTCTGGGGGCGCCAGCTTTCCAGGGACACCTGGAAAGAGAGAGAGAGGAGGGGAGCCCTGGTGAGCCCAGCCAGCCCCGGCTCCATCTCCCCACACCCCGCCCGTCAACGTCCCTCCCCGGTGCTCGCTCGCTCACGGGCCACGGCCACAGTGCAGGAGCTGGTGACGGTGCCCAGCACGTTGCTGGCCGAGCACTCGTAGAGCCCCGCGTGCCGCCTGCTGGCCCGGGGGATGCTGAGCAGCTGCCGGCCGTCCTTGCAGGACACGATGACCACGGAGGGCTCGGAGTGCAGGGACTGCTTGTCTGGGGGGGGCAGAAAGGACAAGAGGGGCCACTGAGCACCCCAGGTGCCCCCCCATCTCCCGCCTGCCGCCCCTCCAGAACCGCCTTACCCTTAGTCCAGGAGATGTGGGGTGCGGGGCAGGCCGCGGGCAGGCAGAGTAGCGTGGCCGCTTCTCCCTCCAGCAGCACCTGGTCCTTGAGTTTGATGTGGAAGACTGGGGGGAAGTCTGGAGAGACAGGGAAGAGGGGCCATGGGTCCCGGGGTCCCCCCACTCTGGCTCCCTTCCTGCCAATGCAGGGGGGCACGAGAGATGGGAGGCAAGTCCACATGATCTCTGGCTGCTTTTTGTGACTATCGACTCGTGAATAGGCTCGAAGGTGACGTCAGGCACCCCAGGGCCCCAGACATGAGGGGGTTTCAGCCAGTCGGGGAAGGAGCACGGGGGATAGGCAAGGTCCTTGCTCTGGAGTCAGGGAGATAGCACAGCAGGGAGGATGCTTGCTTTGCACACATCTGACCTGGGTTCAATCCCCCCACCCCACCCCCATCACATAGTGGTCCCTGGAGCCCACCAGGAGTCATCCCAGGATTACTTCAGGAGTAATTACTCCAGAGCCAGGAGTAAGCCCTGAACACCACTGGGTATTGCCTCCAACCCCCACACAAGAGAGCAAACACCAAACAAGATCCTTGTGCCAACACAGCTGGTGCGTGACTCTCAAGGATGTGCAGCTCTGCTCCCTGGAGTGGGACCTTAGAGAAGTTTGTATATGGGGGCTGGAACCTGAGGACAGAGCACAAAGTGCTTTGCCTTGCATGCGGCTGACTGGAGTTCGATCTTCCCGCACCCCGCACCTCCGGCATCCCATTTGGTCCCCTTGAGCCCACTAGGAGTTAGTCCTAATTGCAGAGCCAGGAGTAACCCCTGAGCATCACAGGGTGTGGTCCCCCCAAACAATAAATAAATAAAAGTCTGTGCCTGAGGGTGCTGATGGGATGAGACGGGAGGCATGAATGTGAGTGTGGTCTTTGTCCTTGAGCAGAGGGTGGAGGGGAACAGAGTCTGGGGAGCCCCAACTACTGCTGCAGATAAAAGAACTAAGACGGGGGATGAGAAAGGCATCCTCTGAATGCTCAAAGGAGGGGATGGTACAGCCAGGTATCCCCTCTGCTCTGGGGGTATGGTGGGCCCCACGTTCAGGCTCCAACCGCAGCAAATGGAATAATTTCACCAATGATCATTTTCTTTTTCCTTTTTCTGTGTTTGTTTGGGGGTTATATCTGGCCAGGCTCAGGGCTTACTCCTGGCTCTGGGCTCAGAGCTCACTATGGGTGGTGCTCGGGGGAGTCTATGGGTGTCAAGGATCGAACTCAGGCTGGACACATGCAAGACGAATGCCTTACTTCCTGTACCATCTCTCTGGGTCCCAAAGGCCACTTTCACTGCAAGGGAGGGTACTGATGGGAGGGGTGGGAGTAGGGTGACTTGGCCTGGGTGCTCTAATGAGCAGTGTATACCACTGCTCGCATTATCTCTTTCCTAGTTAAAGTGACAGGGACAGTGACCTTTCTTCAGGGAGAGGGGAGAGGTCAGAGACAGGGACATTGGACAAGAAAAAAATTCAGCAGCCCCACCAAAACAGGGCTGGGTCGAAGCCGGTCCCTGACGACCCAGCCCTCGGAGATGCTGTCTCCCTCCACCTGTGCTCACCAGTGGGCCACCCCCTCTCCACTCACTAGAGCCCTCTCAATCCGTGGCCTGGAGCATGACACCACAATTTCTCGAGCCAAGGTCAGGCACAGTCATTGCAAATTCAGCTAAGCCCCGCTGGGAGGGCTGTGAATTTTATGTGGAAACAAGAACTGGGGACTGAGAATCTGGAAAAAAAAAAACTTGCGTGCCCGAGGATAGATGACTGGTTAAAGAAACTTTGGTACATCTGCACAATGGAATACTATGCAGCTGTTAGAAAAGACGAAACCATGAAATTTGCATATAAGCGGATGGACATGGAGAGTATCATGCTAACTGAAATGAGTCAGAAAGAGAGGGGCAGACATAGAATGAATTCACTCATTTGTGGCATAAAAAGTAATGTAATGGGAGACTAACACCTAAGGATAGTAGAGATAAGGGCCAGGAAGATCGCTCCATGGCTTGAAAGCCAATCTTATGTGCTGGGGGAAAAGGCAGCTGGGATGGAGAAAGGAGCACTAAGTAAATGATGCTTGGAGGGCTCACTCGGGATGGTAGATGTGTGATGAAAGTAGACTATGAACCAAATATGACGGCCACTTAGTAACTATATTGCAAACCATAACACCCAAAAGGAGAGAGAGAGAAAGAGGGAATGTGCCTGCGGCCACGCTCACGGTTACTCCTAGCTCTGCACTCAGGAATCACTCCTGGCGGTGCTCAGTAGACCACAGAGGCAGGGGGTGGGAAGGGGTGGGGGTGGCAGGAGGGATACTGGGAACATTGGTGGTAGAGAATGGGCATTGGTGGAGGGATGGGTACTTGAACATTGACTGAAACATAATCACGAAAATCTGTAAGTCTGTAACTGGATATCATGGTGATTCATTAAAATTAAAAAAAAAAAAAGAACTGGGGGTGGTGAAGGTCCTGCCCAGGGCCTGGGGGACTGTGGCATCCTGCTTGTCTGGGGAACGTGGAGTGAGTCCTGGGGTAATGCTCCCCGGGAGAGCCCTGGGGGAGGAGCCCTGTCCCTCCCCCTCCCCCATGCAGAGCAGCGTCCTGAAGTCTGCACCTGTGTCTAAAGGGCTGGAGGTATTGAGCAGGATGGCGGGTGTTCTGGGAATCAGGGATGGGGCAGCACCCACACGGTGAGCCCCCCAGGCTGGCAGAGAGTGGCTCTGGGTGCCATGAGAGCAGACACATCTGGAAGGCAGCTGTGGGATGGGAGACCTCTCTGGAGCTCCTTCCAGAGGTTCTTGGGGCGGAAGCGACAGTACAGAGGGGAAGGTGCTTGCCTGGTACATGGCTGACCAGGGCAGACGGGGGTGGGGGGGATCCCCAGCACTGCATAGGAGCCCTGTAGCACTGGCAGGAGTGACCTCCTCTGGGCACAGTTGAGTGGGCTCCCCCTTCCCACTGCCAAAGGCCCAGGGTTTCCCATCAGGAAGGAGGCTAGAGATTGAGGGTCTCTCAAAAGGGAGGTTAGAGACCCAGGGTTTCCCACCAGAGAGGAAGCTAGACACCTAGGGTGTGCCACCAAGAAGCTTAGAAACCCAGGCTCCCACCAGTGAGGACGCTGGGCACTGGGGTCTTCCCCCCAGGGAGGAGGTTAGAGACCTGGGTACCCTCCCCCTGCAGGGAGGTGGTTGGAATCCTGCTCCCACCAAGGAACAGGTTAGAGACCTGGGGTCCACCCCAGGGAACAGGTTAAAGACCTGGGAGATGCCCAGCAGGTTAGAGACCTGGGGTCCACCCCCAGGGAGCCGGTTAGAGACCTGGGAGATCCTCCCTGGGAGCAGGTTAGAGACCTGGGGTCCATCCCAGGGAGCAGGTTAGAGACCTGGGAGAAACCCCAGCAGGTTAGAGACCTGGGGTCTGCACCAGGGAGCCGGTTAGAGACCTGGAAGATCCTCCCTGGGAGCCGGTTAGAGACCTGGGATACCCTTTCCTCAGGGAGCAGGTTAGAGACCCAGGGACTTCTGTGATGTGCTCCTCTCCTACCAGCTGGGATGACTCCCTGGCGTGGGGTGGGTGGGGTATTCTTACCCAGTGAGCCTCTTACCTGACTCACTGCGCACATACGGGTGACCCAGATCCTCCTGGGCGCTGGCGGACAGGTTGGGCTGGGACAACCCCTTGTCCTTCCGCAGCCTCGAGAGCCCCCAGCGCAGCCGGCTTCGGCTTTCCCCGGGACCTGCCAATAGCCAGATCCATGAGCACTTCCAGCTGGAGCCGAGGGCACCCAGCTTCCTGTCTGCCCCAGTCCCCTCCCCCTATGGCCCCAGGAACTCCACAATTTGGTGAACCTCTTAATGCTGGGTGTCCCTGGACTCCTCCAAGGACCTCTTTCCAGTTCACCCCTTCCCCGTCCAGGCTCTGCGCCATACCCCCCATGCACTTTTTTGGGGGGTTTGGGCTGGAGCGATAGCACAGCGGGTAGGGCGTCTGCCTTGCACGCAGCCAACATGGCCGACCCGAGTTCGATTCCTCCGCCCCTCTCGGAGAGCCCGGCAAGCTACCAAGAGTATTCGATATGCCAGACACAGTAACAACAAAGTCTCCAATGGAGACGTTACTGGGCCCGCTCGAGCAAATCGATGATCAACGGGAGGGCCTTTACTTTACTTTACACGCAGCAACGCTCAGGGTTACTCCTAGCTCTGCATTCAGGAATCACTCCTGGCAGTGCTCAGTAGACCATATGGGATGCCGGGGATGGGACCTGGGTGAGCCGCATGCAAGGCAAACACCCATCCTGCTGTATTATCGCTCCACCCCGTGGCTACTCCCGGTGTAATTCAGGGGACTGTGCAGTGCTGGGATCAACATGTGCTCCAGTCCTTTGTGGGACCCTCCCACCCCCGGCTGGCCTCCTATGCACTCCTGTTCACATCTTCTCCCGCTGCCCTGCTCCTCCTCACCCGACGAGCCCGAGTTGCCGCTGGCCTCAGAGCCCAGGGACTCGGCGGAGGGCGTGGTGGCGGCCCCCTGCGCGGCCAGCTGGTTGTGCGGGAGGCCCAGACGCCGCAGACTCTCGCCCTCCGACGTGGCCCGGCGCAGCCGCCCGAACAGCGGCGTGCTGCGGCCCGACGCGCCCCCGGAGTCCTCGCTGCTGCCGCTGCGCTGGAAGCGGCTGGACAGGCGCTCGAGCGTGGAGCTGAGCCGCCGGCGCACGGCGAGCACCGGGGAGCCGCGCGCCGAGCTGCCGCCCTCCGAGCCCTCCCCGTCCCCGCGGGCTTCCCAGGCCGGGCGGCGCTGGCCCGGCGGCGTGCGGCGCAGCCGCTGCGACAGCGACAGCGACAGGCGGCGGACCAGGCTCTGCTCGCCGGCCGCCCCCCGCAGGTCCTGCACCGAGCGGGAGCGCTCGGGCCGGCGCACGAGCTCCAGCGGGGTGCCCGCGGGGCTGGGCCGGTACATGCCGTCCTCGTCCTCGGCCGCGCGCCACGGGCCGCGCTCCTCGGAGCGCGAGCGGCTCAGCAGGCGCAGACCCCGCGCCAGCGGCGACTCCCGGCTGCGCTTGAACTTCGCCTCGAACACGGCCTCCGACTCCAGGTTCTCGATGCTGCTGCTCAGGCTGCTGCCCGGTTGCCGGGGCACCGCGGTCACCCGCACCTTCGGGCCCGGGCCTGGCCCCGGGGCCGCCGTCGCGGCGGGCGCGCGCTTCTCGGGCGCTCCGGGGGGCGGCGAGGCGACTCGGGCGAAGACCGCCGGGTGGGGCTTGGGCTCGGCGGCCGCGGCCGGAGGGGCCGCGGCCGGAGGGGCAGTGGCCGGGGCCGGGGTCAGGGTCACGGTCGGGGTCGGGCCCGACAGCTGCAGGGACTGGATGATCTGCGCGTAGGGGGTGGCAGGCGGCGGGGGACCCCGCTGAGCCCGGGCCGGTTTTGCGGGCTGGGGGGCTGGGGCTGGCTCAGGCGCGGGCTCGGGGGCTTTCTCCTGGCTCTCGGGTGCCGGGGACACGGGGGCATCCCCGGCGGGGGCGGGGGCCGGAGGCTCCGGGGCCTTGGGGGTGCCGGCTTGGGGGGCGCCGGGCCTCCCCGGGCTGGAGGGCTGCGCCTCGCTGAGCGCCGACAGCGAGGGCGACTCCTGAAGCTTGCGCGCCCCGAGTCGGGCCACGGGGATCTCCAGGGGGGCCCCGGCGCGCCGGTGGCGGCCGCGGGGCTCGGCCTCGCCCTGAGAGAAGCTGCTGCTCTTCTGCAGGCCCCGGGTCTCGGGCGGGGGCTGGTGGCGCGGGGCGGCCTCGCTGGAGGCGGCCCGGGCCAAGCGAGGGTCGCGGGGACGGCCCCCCAGGCTCTCCAGCAGGGGACCCCGGAGGCCGCTGACCTTGCCGTCCTCCGGGGTCCCGCGCAGGAGCCGCTGGCGCAGGGCCTGCAGCCTCTGCGCGTACTCGCCCTCGCCCAGGCCACCCCGGGCCAGGCGGGTGGCCCCCGGGCTGGGACTCCGGCGCTGCGGCAGCTCCACGGACGCCGCTTTCTGCAGGGCCCGGCCCGGTTCCCGCCGCCCGGCCCGGGGCAGGGCGCTCTCGGCGGAGCTGCCCCTTCGGAGCGCTCCGCGCGGCGGGCTGGGCCCGGCCGGGGGCTCCTGGCCTGGGGAGGGGAGGGCCTGCGGGCTGGGGGGTTCCTGGTCTCCAAGGGGGGCCCGGCCCTGCTCCTGCCAGTCCATGGGCGTGGCGGCCCCGGCCTCGTCCTCCGTGGGAATGTCCGTGAGGGACACGCGCGAGCCCGAGAACTCGGGCTGCAGCGGGCGGGGCACCGACGGCAGCTCTTCCAGGTCCTCCTCCTCGGAGTCCGACGACGAGGACAGCCCCCCGCTGGGCGGGGCTCTGCGGGGCACGGCCACCCACACGCGCTCCGGGGGCGCCCTCAGCAGCTCGGGGATGGGTTGCAGCACCAGGTGGCACTTGTAGCTGATCTGGGAGCGCTGGAGGCAAAGTGGCTGGGTCAGCGCTGGGGTAGACCAACGGAGGCACCTCGTGTGGTCACCTCCAGGAGAGAGGGTGGGGGGAGAGCGGGGATGGGAGAGGAAGGGGGAGAGGGAGGGGAGGGGAGGGGAGAGGGAAAGAGAGGGAACAGGGGAGAGAAGCTAAAAGAGAGGAAGGAGAGAGTAAGAGGGAGAAGGAAAAAGGGGGAGAGATCGGAGAGAGGGAAAGAGGGAGAGAAGAGGGAGGGAGATAGAAGGAGAGAGGAAGAAGGCTGGAGCGATAGCACAGTGGGTAGGGCGTTTGCCTTGCACGCGGCCAACCCGGGTTCGATTCCCAGCATCCCATATGGTCCCCTGAACACCACCAGGAGTCATTTCTGAGTGCAGAGCCAGGAGTAACCCCTGTGCATTGCCGGGTGTGACCCAAAAAGAAAAAAAAAGGAGAGAGGAAGAGATGCAGAGAAAGGGAGAGAAGAAGAGAGAGGGAGAGAGAGGGGGAAAGAGTCAGAGAGGGAGAGAGAAGAAGAGAGAGGGAGGGAGGAGATAGAGAAGGAGAGAGAGGGAAAGGGAGAGGGAGAGAGGAAGAGGGAGGAGAGGGAGGAAGAGAAAAGGAGAGGAAGAGAGGGGGACGGGGGAGAGAGAAGGGCTGACAGCATCACTCACCTGCCACCTCCGTCGGGACAGGAAGAGTTTTAGGTGATCCGTGCTCACCTCGGCACCCTTTGCCTGTGTCTGCAAACCAGGGGACAGGGCCTGAGTGAAAGGCCTCCTGTCACCTGCACCCCCAGTATGGCAGTGGGGAGACAGAGGCCATCAGAGGGGCCGGTGGCCAGAGGCACGACAGAGCAACCCCGCGCTGCAACCTCAGTGGTCCCCAGGGTGGGCTTCAGAGCTGCCCTCAGGGTGGGGTTCCCCGGCTCGCCCTGGGCGAGTGAGCACCCAGACATCTGCGGCCTGGGGCAGGGGGTGTCCGGCCAAGGCAGCAGATAGCCGCGTCCCCCCGAGACTCCTCCCAGGAATCCCTTCAGAGCTCCTATTGGATCCAGGGGTGACACCCTCATTCTCTGGGCACATGCCTGAGGAGGGGTGCAGCCTTCAGATGCTTTCCGCATCACCCTTGTTTGGTTTGGGGGCCACACCCGGCAGTGCTCAGGGCCTACTCCTGACTCTGTGCTCAGGGGGTCACTCCTGGTGGGCTCGGGGGACCATATGGGGTGTTGGCGGGGATTGAACCCGGGTTGGTGGCATGCAAGGGAAGTACCATTCTGCCCACTATACTACTGCCCAGGCTCCCCTCTACATCACCCTTGGACAGTTTGTTCTGTTTCTATTTCTGGGTCTCTTTCTTACCCCCTCCCCACGGTCCTGAGCCTGGCACGGTGCCCAGCGCTCAGGGGCTGAGGCTGAATGAGTATGAACCTCCCCTCGTGTGACCAGCAGGGCTGAGAGGCCGAGTCCATGGGCACCCCCCTCCACTGTCAGGTTGGAAGGGGTCTCCATAACCAGGTCTGGGGGCGCTGACGATGAGGGAATTAGGGGAGGTTCAAACCCACGTGGTGGGCCCAGGAGGGGGCTCCAACAGTTGGAGAGCATGTGGCAGCTGGCAGAAGACCCTGAGTTCAACCCCTGGTGTGGCATGGCCCCCTGAGCAATGCTTGAGAGGGGCCCGCCTCCAAAATGATAAAAAAAGAGAGACAGGGTCTGGAGCGATAGCACAGTGGGTAGGGCATTTGCCTTGCATGCAGCTGACCTGGGTTCGATTCCCAGCATCCCATATGGTCCCCTGAGTACCACTAGGAGTAACCCCTGTGTAATGCCGGGTGTGACCCGTAAAACAAAAAAAAAAAAAGGAAAAAGAAAAGAGACAGAGCAACAGAAAAAATTAAAAGTGTCTGCCATAGAGGCAGGCTGGGAGGGGTAACGGGAGGGAAACTGGGGACACCGGTGACGGGAAATGTACACTGGTGAAGGGACTTTGTATGACAGAGACCTAATCATGAACAACCCTGACACTGTGTATCTCATGGTGATTCAGTTTAAAAATGTTTTTCTTAAAAAAACAGGTGGCCAGGGGCTGGAGCAATAGCACAGCGGGTAGGGCGTTTGCCTTGCACGCGGCCGACCTGGGTTTGATTCCCAGCATCCCATGTGGTCCCCTGAGCACCACTAGGAGTGATTCCTGAGTGCAGAGCCAGGAGTAAGTCCTGTGCATCGTCAGGTGTGACACCAAAAGCAAAAACAACAACAACAATAACAACAACAAAAACAAAACAGGTGGCCAGCTTCCCAGAGTAATATGGGCCAGAGACCAGAGCAACAGTACAGTGGGGAGGACGTTTGTCTAGCACACAGCTGGACTGGGGTTCGATCCCTGGCACTACTTCAGATGATCCCCCCCAAGCACTGGCAGGAGTGATTCCTGAGTGCAGAGCCAGGAGTAACCCCCTGAGCATTGTTGGCAGGTGACACAAAAACCCAAACCAAAAGAAAAGAAACCCCTTAGGCGGGAGAGAGCGTCCGGGAAGTAAGGCACTACCCTGGTTCTATCCCAGGCAGCACATGTGGTTCCCCTGGGCACCGCCAGGGGTCAGTCACTCTGAGCACAGAGCCAGGAGTATCCCCTGAGTGAGCACTGCTGCTTGTGGCTTCACCTCCCCTACCCCCAAAAGCTCTGCTTGGACAAAACCCATTTCACTCTACACAACAAGCGCTCTCACTGTGTGATTTGATTGCAAACTCCCTCTTGCCCTCCACTCAATTCCAGCCCTGTGGGCCCAGACTCACTTTGAACCAGGCGTGTTCCAGGGTCTCCTCTGCGGAAGGCCTCCTGGAAGGGAACGGGGCTCTGTCATTCATTCACTCCTTCATTCATTCTGCCAATAAACAGCGCTGCGGGGGGGGGGGGGGAGGGCAGAGAGCGGGGCCTCCAAGGAGGAGGGGGCCAGGCCGGTGGGGCACTCACAGCTGGTCCCGCACGAGCACTTTGATGAGGAAGCCACGGGCCTCCCGGCTGAGGCTCAGGAACGTGGTCTCCTCGAAGGCCACGTTGTAGTTGCGGATGTTCATTAGGGTTGTTCGATCATTCTCCCCGACGAACGGGGAGATTCCCGTGAGACTGTAGTGGGGGGGTGTTTGGAGAGGGGCCAGGTGTCATTAGAGTAGGGGTGAAGGGGATGCCTGGGGGCAGGGCAGGACTGCGGACCGTGGGAGGGGGGGAAGGTGGGGAGCCCGGTGACCTTGCCCCCATGTCACCCCAGATCGGCAGAGCGGGGGGAGGCTGGTTCCCTGCCTTGGATTCTTGCTTTTTTGAGGGGGTGGGTGGGGTGGGACCACACCTGACAACGTTCGGGGGTTATTCCTGTTTCTGCACTCGGGAATTACTCCTGGTGGTGCTCAGGGGACCATATGGGATGCTGGGACTCGAACCCAGGTCGGCCGCATGCAAGGCAAGTGCCCTGCCCACTGCACTATCGTTCTGGTCCTGGACATGTGCTTTGAGGGACTAATCTACTCCTCTTTCCAGGGCCCATCCTCGAGAGTACAGGGTGCTCTGTCCCCAGAACTAAGCATCCCGCTTCTGGAGACTCAGGAACGGGGTGCTCCCACCCTAAGGGCTTCTGAGCCCCTGCTGGCCTCTCCCTCCGGGGCACCCAAGCCTGCCATGTCTACCCTTCCATGGCGGGTGGTGGACACAACGAGGACGAGCCGACCCGGCATCCTCGTTCATACCTGTGGGGTGTGGGAAAGGGAAGGGGTGTGACACTGCCCTCCTGCCCCTGCCTGTAGATGCGGGGGGGGGGGGTGTCTGCTAGGAGACAGGGGTCCAGAGCGCAGGGGTCCTTACCAGAGGAAGGCAACGACGCCCACAGGCCTGCAGGGAAGAAGGGAGAGGTAAGAGGACCCTGAGGGCTGCTATGTGTGTATGTGTGTGTGTGTGCGTGCATGCGTGCATGCAGGGAGGCAGAGGCCTCCTTCATGGACAGGACCCCAGGCCCAGAGCTGCAGACATTCATGGAGGAATCGGGGGTAAGAGCAGAGCTGGCCCAGGAGTGTGGGGACCCAGACACAGTGCTCCTCCCGAGAGTGGTAGGGTGACTAGCATCCAGGGAACCAGAAGCTAAGTCCTTCAGGAATTTGCAGCGAGAGTGGTCACGGCTCGGTGGGCATGGCCATCCCTGCTCAGTGGGAGGAGTCATCCCTGTCCAATGGGCGGGTTCACTTGCCATTCAATGGGCGGAGCCACCCCTGCTCGGTAGGTGTGGCATCCCTGCTCAGTGGGCGTGGCCATCCCTCATCAGTGGGCGTGGCCATCCCTCATCAAGAGGTCAGGACATGCCTGTACGAACTCCTGTGGCCTTCGGAGGGCCGGACTGGGACAATAGCGAACCAGGGTTCGGGGGTGCTGGGAACCGGGGCCTCGTTGGACCTAGTCGTCTGGGAGGGGCCGTTTCCCCGCGCTCCAACAAGCCCACCCCGCTGTCCGCCCAACGTTACCAGACGTCCGTGACTCCGGACACAGGAGTCTGGTTGACGATCTCGGGGGCCACGAACTCGGGGGTGCCATACTGGCAGTACTGGGGCTCTCCCGGCGTCAGCACCTGTGCGTTCCCGAAGTCACAGAGGCGCACCTGCTCTTCGCCCTCGGGGCCGTCCCCCACCAGCAGGTTTTCGGGCTTCAGGAGAGGCCAGGGTGTGGTGAGGCTTGAGGAGGGGCGGGCCCCGCACTGCCTGCACACAGCCCTCCCCCTCCCCCCTCGCTCCCCTCCCTCCCTCTCCCCCTGCCCCTGCTGCCTGGCCCCTATCGGCACCTCACCTTGATGTCCAGGTGCAGCACGTGGCTTTGGTGCAGGTAGCCTATCCCTTCCAACACCTGCCGCATGTAGGTGCGGATCTGGGAAAAAGGGGGGCGGAGTGCGGAGTGCGTGGGTGGGTGGGGGGCGTGAGGGTGGGTTATTAAGATTCCCTTGTCACAGTCTCGGGGCCAGGTGGCTGGGGTGGGGAAGGAAAGGAGCTGAAAGGGGCTGGCCAAGAACCAGGGCCTCCATGACCATCACCCCTTCCCCACCCCCAACCCCAGAGGGCACAGCACCATTTCAGGGGAACCATCCACCGATCCCCAAATTGTGCATCTCCAACTTGTTCACCCTTGTAACGCAAGAGGAGTGAGCATGAATAGTAAGTAGGGCGGGGCCTCCTTCTGGGAGGAAAGTTGGGGGGATTTTGCAAGGAAGATTGGGGCCATCGCAGAGCATGGCCCTGACTTGTGGGGGTGGGGGTGAGCCGGGCTCCTGCAATTCAAAACTGACGCTGCAAGTCCCAAAGGGATGAAACTGGGACTGTGGAGATGGCGCCGCGGCGGAGACGCAGACGCCCCGGGTTGGATCCCCAGCACACTAGGGACCTGGGACACCACACTGAAAATGGCCCTTGAGTCCCAACCGGATGTGCTTCACTCTCTACCTGCCACAGCAGTTCCCCCAGATACAAAGAAGACAGCAAGGAAGACCTAGTGGGTGGCCTGATGACGGGGCCCCATCTGCCTGGGTGGGGGGCGCGCAGGGCTGAGGGGGGGTGAACGTGAGCCCGCCCGGCCCTCACCTCAGACTCACACACGGTGGGCTTCCTGGCCATGCGTTCCAGAAGTTCCTCAGTGCAGCTGGGCGCGAGGTCAAGGAGAAGAATGGCAGAGCGGGGGGGGGGGGCGGCGAGGTCTGTCAGTAGAGGGGTGTCCTTCACCCCCCTTTGATTGAGGGGGCCACACCTGGCAGTGCTCGGGGCTGACTCCTGGCTCTGAACTCAGGAATCACTCCCAACAGTGCCTGGGGGACCATATGGGATGTCCTCCCTGCTGTCCTATCGCTCCGGCCTCTCCTGCCTGCCCCTTAAAACACAGCTGACCCCAGCCCCCTCCCACTCATCACCTGGGTGCGGGGATGAGGCCACTGGGCCAGAACTTGCTTTTGCTGTGGACCCGAGGAAAGTCATTGGCCACCCCTTCCCCCAAGACCCACTGTGCCCAAGAGCCTGCACGGGGCAACAATTTGTCTTGCTCAGCCATGGACCGACGGAGAGCAGAGTTCCGAGGACTCTGGAGGGAGCTTCATTTGTCGGGGCTAAAGGACTGGGTTTGGGGGTCACACCCAGCAGAGCGCAGCCACATGTCAAGTGAGCGCCTGAACCCCTGTATGTCTCTCTGGCCCAAAGAACTCCACTTAGGCAGGAGCCATGGGTCCAGGCCACCTAAGAATCTGTCCCGTGGCGGAGGCCTGGACTTGAACAGGGCCCACTAGCCGCAGGACCTGGGCACCCTGCAGAGTGAGAGACACAGTCCCTAAGGGCCAAGGGCCAAAGCTTATGCAAAATGGGGTCTCCTGACATGCTCTCCATCTGTGTTTCATGGGACGGAGCACACACTTTCAGGGAGCTGTGCATCATCGGGGGAGTCACTGCTACACTGGGTGTCGTCATCCGCAAGACAGAGACAATAAAGTCCCTGAAATGGAGGACCAACAGGCTAATCCCTCCGCGTCCCACAGAACGCTGAGAAGCGCAGCTTACTTAAGTGCTTTACATGCGCTAAGTGCAGAGCAAATGGCTTGGGAGATGGCTTGGAAGGCTGAGACGCATACTGAGCATGCAGGAGGCTCAGGTTTAATTCCCAGGACCACATGGCTCGCCTACACCACCGGAAGTGACCACAAGCACCACTGGTGTGACTCCCCCTAAACCAAGAAAAGAATATATACATAAACTAATATAATAATAAACTGGCCACGGAAAATGGGTCAGAAGGACTGGTTAATGGTTGGAAATTACCACAGAGGTGTGCGTCAGGGGGATAGAAGGTAGTTAAGATAGAGGAAGGTCCATTATGACAACATTAGTTAGAAATGATCACTTTGGACAAGAATGGAGCATTGAAAGTAGGTAAAGGAATACACACGATAACCTTTCCGTACCTGCATTGCAAACCATAATGCCTACAAAGAGAGAGAGAAAGAGAAAGAGAGAAGAAAGAGATGCCTGACAAAGATCCAGGCTGGTAGGGGGTGGTCTGGGGCGGGTGGTGGGTAGGAAACTAGGGACATTGGTGCTAGGAAATTACACTGGTGGAGGGATGGGTGTCGGAACACTGTGTGACTGAAACCCAATCATGAATAGCTTTGTAATGCTCAAATTGCACGGGGATACAATAAAATTAAAAATTAATATTAAAAATTTAAAATACTTTAAAAAATAATGTTATATAAAATGTATATTTTATATTCTATATATTTTATATATATATGGGATGGGGGTGCACACCTGGCATGCTCAGGTCTTACTCCTGGCTCTGCACTCAGGAATCACTCCTGGCGGGGCTCCAGGGATCATACAGGAGGCCAGAGATCAAACCCCTGTGCAAGGCAAATACACTACCTGCTGTGTTGTCTCCCCAGTCCCCAAGAAAAGAACAAGTAGGTTAAAAATGTTAGCCTTATCTTCTCGGGATGGGAGATGCGGGCTGAAAGTAGACTATAGACCAAACACTTAATACCTCTATTGCAAACCATAACACCCAAAAGGAGAGAGAAAGCAAAAGGGAATGCCCTGCCACAGAGGCGGGGTGCGGTGGAGGGGACGGGGTTGGGGTGGTGGGAGGGATGCTGGGACCATTCATTGGTGGTGGAAAATAGGTATTGGTGGAGGGATGGGTATTCGACCAGAAATGCAAGCAGGAAAGTACTGTAACTGTTACAGTTACAGTCTGTAACTGTACCTCACGGTGATTCAATCACAATCAATCAATCATGGTCCTCCCATTGTTCATCGATTTGCTCGAGCGGGCCCAGTAATGTCTCCATCATGAGATTTGTTGTTACTGTGTTTGGCATATTGAATACATCACGGGGAGCTTGCCAGGCTCTGCCGTGCGGGCGAGATACTCTCGGTAGCTTGCCGGGCTCTCCGAGAGGGGCGGAGGAATCGAACTCGGGTCGGCCATGTTGGCCGCTTGTTAGGCAAACGCCTTACCGCTGTGCTATCGCTCCAGCCCACGGTAATTCACTAATAAAAAATTAAAAACAAAAAAAGTTAGCTTTTCTTTTTAAAAAAAGTGGCAAGACATACCAAAAAATGTTAGTTTTTAGAAGAAAGAAAAAAAACATTTTTGGGGGTCACACCTGGCGATGCACAGGGGTTACTCCTGGCTCTGCACTCAGGAGTTACTCCTGGTGGTGCTCAGGGGACCATATGGGATGCTGGGAATCAAACCCGGGTCGGCTGCATCCAAGGCAAATGCTCTCCCTGCTGTACTACCACTCCAGCCCCAGAAAAAAAATTTTTAATTAAAAAATCAAAATGATTGTTTTTGTGGGAGTAAAAATCACCCCACAGGGCATTCCGTTTCGCTTCGGGTCATACTCAGTGGCGCTCAGGGGTCACTCCAGGCAGGGCCCGGGAGACCCAACGCAGTGCCGGGAACTCATACAAGGCTGGCACCTCACCTGCTCCCATCTCCAGAACCCACTGCCGCACCTCCTCACCACCCCCACCCACCACGCGCCAGGCAGGATACAGCTCGGTGACAATGACCAGCCCCCGGCGTCGCTCAAAGGCCTCGTGGAAGTAGAGGATGCAGTCGTGCTGCAGCCGGGCCAGCAGGCGTGCCTCGCGCCACGCCGAAGCCTTGGGCTTGGCCTGGCTGGGGATGAACTTGGCGGCGAACTCCATGCCCGAGCTCCGCTCCACCACGCGCCGGAGGTACGAGAAGGCGCCCCTGGCAGAGGGATGGGGGAGGGGCGGGGGGCTCAGGGCTCGCCATTGCAATGGCTCCCAGAAACCCTCGGCCTCCAGCACCCCCCCACCCCGCCCGTGGCTCCCAGACAGCGGCTCCCCCAGCCCAGATCCCACACCTGCCGATCTCCTGGTGGATGTCGTAAAAGTCACAGAGTCTCCGTCCTCCTCGCTGCTCCTCGTCCTCCCCCAGGCCCTCCGCTTCCATAGCTGTCTGAGCTGGGGGCGAGATCCCGGCGTTAGGAGGGGAGGGGAGGGGAGGGCAGGGAGGTGGGCAGAGACGAGGTGTGTGTGGGGGACAGGCAGGCATGATGGAGAGGAGCAAGGATGCGGGGGGGGGGGATTGCCCTGGGGCCGGAGAGACAGCTCCCAGTACCGAGGGCTTTATTTACCTGGGGAGGAGTGGGGTGGGGGACCCTCGGGGTCTCAGAGCACTGTGTGGCTTCCTCGAGCACCGCCATGATTGACTCCCCCCCCTCCAGTGCTGAACATCCCCAGTTATGGCCCACCCGAGTCACTGTCACTGTCTTGTTCATCGATTTGCTCGAGCCGGGCCCAGTAACGTCTCCATCGCGAGACTTGTTGTTACTATGTTTGGCATATCAAATATGTCACGGGGACCTTGCCAGGCTTTGCTGCACGGGTGAGATACTCTCGGTAGCTTGCCGGGCTCTCCGAGAGGGGCAGACGAATCAAACTTGGGTTAGCCTGGTCGGCTGCATGCAAGACAGACGCCCTACCCGCTGTGCTATCGCTGATACACACACACACACACACACACACACACACACACACACACACACACAAATATTGTTGGGCAGGGGCAGGGAGGGCAGGACTGGCTGAGCGGGGTGGGGGAGAAGGTGCTCTGCCCTGCTCCCGCTGAGAACACAGCCCACCTGTGAGCACGGCCAGCTCCGCCTTGCAGGAGACCTCACCGGCCAGGTTCCGGGCCGTGCAGGTGTACACGCCCCCATCCTGCGGCCCGGCGCTGAGCACCACCAGGGAGCACTCATTCTCCTCGTACACGAAGCCCACATGGTTGCTCTCAGTCAGTAGGGCCTCATCCTGTGGAGCTGGCTGTCACCCCTGGAGCCAGCCACCACCCCCCCACCTGCACACCCAGTCACACCCTTGACCCCTCAGACCCTGATGGCGTCATGCAGCACCCATGGGTGTATCCCCTCTGCCCCCCGTGCCACTAGAGACACTCTCTCCCCTTAAAACACCCAGACACCCACCCACCCAAACCTCCCACCCCAGCATCCCCCGGGGCTGAGGCTTCATCACCCTCTGACCTTGTACCACATGATGTCAGGCAGGGGTCGCCCCTCAACCACCACAGCGAAGCGCGCCGTCTCCCCGGCCCCCACCTCCACGTCCTCCATGATGGACTCAAACCGCGGAGCCTCTGGAAGACACGGGGGTGCAGTGGGGTTGGTGGGGGGGGGGGAAGAAGGTTCTTCCAACTGTTCTTGGGTGGCACATCAGATCTCCCTGCCCAAGAATCTCCCAGTAGCCCCCCTCCCCCCTACACACACACACACACACACACACACACACACACACACACACACACCCGTACCTGGACCCAGCCTCGCCCTTTGAACCTGAACATGCAGCTCAGAAAACCGAGTCGGCAGCACTGCACCCTCAGCACTTCCCTGCTGAAAGCAGCCGACGGTCACGGGCGAGAAACGGGCCCATCAACGGGCCCATCAGGCAGCGTGTCTCGCTGCGCATGAAAAGAGGCGGCTCAGAGCAGCGTGACAAGATCTCGTGTGTGTGTGTGTGCGTGCGTGTGTGTGCGTGGTGTGTGTGTATGTTGGGGGCAGGGGGAGGAGGGGGCACCCCCCTTCCCTGGTCTCGCCTACAGCTCAGTCCAGCACCCCCGGTCATGTTCGCGGGCAGCCTGGCCTCTCTGGTTTTCTGGAATCTGACTCCTGTGGTTCCGGAGTTCCCCCCACCCCCACTGCTGACCCCGCGCCGGGGCGGTGTGGTCCTGTCCTCAGCAGCCTCTCTCACCCGGGTCTGGAATGGTCTGGGCATCCTTCTCCTGGGTCAGAATGAAATGCATATCCCAATGGGCTGTGACTGCCCATCCTCTAGCCGATCTCGGTCTAAGGGGTAAGGGGTGAGGCAAGGGGGTGCAGAGAGGGGGCCTGCCTTGCCCTGGCACAGATCTGCAGTGGGGGTTCCAGAAAGGGGACGATCAGGGTGAAAAGAGGCATCAGGGGTGCAGGAAGGAGGCTGCGGGTTGGGTACAGCAGGATGGAGTGTTGAGGTGTAGCTTCAAAAAACCCCAGGCGGGTCCAGCCCCATTTTCTGGGTTCCTCCCCAATCCTGGAAGAGGTTGTACCCAGAAGAGAATATTATCCAGGATAGTAGATACACGGGACAAGAAGATTGCTCCATAGCTGGAAGCCTGCCTCATGAGCAAAGGGGAGAAGGCAGCTGGAATGGAGAAGGGATCACTAAGACAATGATGGCTGGAGGAATCGGTCGGGATGGGAGATGTGTGCAGAAAGTAGATAAAGGACCAAACATGATATCCTTTCAGTGTCTGTATTGCAAACCATCATGCCCAAAAGTAGAGAGAGATTATGGGGAATATTGTCTGCTGTGGAGGCAGGGGGAGGGCTGGAAAGTTGGGGTGTATACCGGGGATATCGGTGGCGGGGAATGTGCACTGGTGGAGGGATGGATGTTTGATCATTGTGTGATTGTAACCCAAACATGAAAGCTTGTAACTATCTCACGGTGATTCAATACAATTAAAAAAATAAAAAGAGAGAGAATATTATTCAGGAGCCAAGTGGGAGCTGGAGCGATAGCACAGCGGGGAGGGCGTTTGCCTCGCACACGGCCAACCTGGGTTCAATTCCCAGCATCCCATATGGTCCCCCGAGCACTGCCAGGAGTAATTCCTGAGTGCAGAGCCAGGAGGAACCCCTGTGCATCGCCGGGTGTGACAAAAACAAACAAACAAAACAGGAGCCAAGTGGGGGGCTGGGCAGGGAGTGAAGGTCTTGGGGTCGGGGGGAGCTGGGCAAGGGGACAGGTGTCCCACCCCATAAGGTCTGAGCTCTTCTTCACCCACCAACATTTCCCAACCCCTTTAAAGATGCCCCTCCCCCACCCCCTCAAAGGAAAAAAATCTGGAAATCTTCTACCTAGTTTGCAGGCCGTGGGTGCTGAGGAAGAATCTACAAAAGTTCCAGAACCGGGAATTTCCAGTGTTGAGTCCCACCTGGTGGTGCTCAGGGATCACTCCGGGAGGGACTATGTGGTGCCGGCTATCAAACCCGGGTTAGCTGCATGCCAAGCCAGTGCCCTGCCCACTGTCCTATCACTCCACCCCCACCCTCACCCCTAATTATTTTTTTTATTTTTGGGCCACACCCGAATGTGCTCAGGGCTGACTTCTGGCTCTACACTCAGGGATCACTCCTGGTGGGGCTTGGGGGGGACCCTTTGTGGTGCCAGGGATCAAACCCAGCCCGGCCGTGGGCATAGCCAGTGCCCTGCCTGCTGTCCTATCACTCCAATCCCCCCGAATTCTTTTTTTTTTTGCTTTTTAGGTCACACCTGGCGATGCACAGGGGTCACTCCTGGCTCTGTGCTCAGGAATCACTCCTGGCGGTGCTCAGGGGACCATATGGGATGCTGGGAATCGAACCTGGGTCAGCTGCGTGCAAGGCAAACGCCCTACCTGCTGTGCTATCGCTCCAGCCCCATGAATTCTTTTTTTTTTCCCTTTTGCTTTTGGATTTTTTTTTGGGGGGGTAGGTCACACCTGGCAATGCACAGGGGTTAGCCCTGGCTTTGCACTCGGAATTACTCCTGGTGGTGCTCGGGGGACCATATGGAATACTGGGAATTGAACCTGGGTCGGCCATGGGCATAGCCAGTGCCCTGCCTGCTGTCCTATCGCTCCGATCCCCCCTGAATTGTTCCTTTTTTTCTTCCTTTTTGCTTTTGAATTTTCTTTTGGGGTGGGGGGGAGGTCACACCTGGCGATGCACAGGGGTTAGCCCTGGCTTTGCACTCAGGAACTACTCCTTGGCGATGCTCGGGGGACCATACGGGATACTGGGAATCGAACCCAGGTCGGCCGCGTGTGAGGAGGCAAACGCCCTCCCCGCTATACTATCGCTCCAGCCCCGAATAATTCTCTCAAGGCACCGGAACACGGCCGCTTCCCCAGCCTGCCTGCGCTAATGCCACTCGGTAGGTAGCGAGGGTTAGCGCACGCTGATCCGGGTGGCAGTTACATATGTCTGCAGTTAATTAACAAACCGGAAAACAAGACAATTACCACTTAATGCAGGCGGTGGTTGGAGAGACTACATCTTTAAAGGAGCCATTATAAATGGGGTCCGCGCTGCAGAGGGCGGGAGTGTTTGTCAAACAGGCCGGTGCCACGGGGGAACCGGGCGGCTAGAGCCGGGCCCAGAGGCGCTGTTATGTTTGAACCGTTTTTAACTCCGCACTTCACGCCTGACCTAACACCGCTCTCTGGTTTCTGAGTCTGGCACCTGCGGCTTGTATCCCAGCTCCTCTATTTCTTAGGGTGAAGGTGTGGGGTCTGTTATCCAGCCCATGCTCTGAGCCTCAGTTTCCCCATCTGTAGAATGGGGATAATAACCGGCCTCCACCTCTACAGGGTTGAAATATTAAAGGGGAGGGGGCCGGAGAGATAATACAGCGGGGAAGGAGCTTGCCTGGCATGCGGCCAACCAGGGTTCGATCCTTGGCACCCCAGTGGGTCCCCTGAGCCCCGCCAGGAGTGATTCCTGAGCACAGAGCCAGGAGTAAACTCTGACTGAGCACTGCTGGAAGTGGCACCCAAAACAAACAAACATAAAGGGGGAGGCACGTGACCAACCAAGACCTGAGCCTGTCAGAAGGATTGCCCCACGGCCTGAAAGTCAGCCTCACATGCTGGGGAAAAAGGCAGCTAGAGGGGCTGGAGCAATAGCACAGCGGGTAGGGCGTTTGCCTTGCATGCGGCCAACCCGGGTTCGATTCCCAGCATCCCATATGGTCCCCTGAGCACCGCCAGGGGTAATTCCTGAGCGTAGAGCCAGGAGGAACCCCTGTGCATTGCCGGGTGTGACCCAAAAAGCAAAGAAAAAAAAAAAAAGAAAGAAAAAAGAACAAAAAACAATAAAAGAAAAGGCAGCTGGGATGGAGAAGGGACCACTAAGTAAATGATGCTTGGAGGGCTCGCTCGGGACGGGAGATGCGTGCTGAAAGTAGACTATGGACCGAACATGATGGCCGCTTAGCACCTGTATTGCAAATCACAATATCCAAAAAGAGAGAGAGTGAAAAAGAGAATGTGCCTGCCACAGAGGCAGGGGGAGGGCGGATGGGGTAGGGGGTGGCAGTAGGGATACAGGGAACATTGGGGGGGGGGGGAGAATGGGCACTGGTGGAGGGATGGGTGTGTGCTCCATCATTGCATGACTGAAACGTAATCATGAAAGTTTGTAAGTCTGTAACTACCCCACAGTGATTCATTAAAAAAGGTAAAGGCCCTCCCGTTGATCGTCGATTTGCTCGAGCGGGCCCAGTAACGTCTCCATTGGAGACTTTGTTGTTACTGTGTCTGGCATATCGAATACTCTCGGTAGCTTGCCGGACTCTCCGAGAGGGGCGGAGGAATCGAACTCGGGTCGGCCATGTTGGCCGCTTGTAAGGCGAACGCCCTACCCGCTGTGCTACCGCTCCAGCCCTGCGCCTGCACGTATGAGAGCTCATTTCCAATCTCATTAGCAGCCTCACTGTTATCACGAGGACAGCAGTGTGCCATTCTGGGGGCCTGTCCCCAAACCACCCGGGAGGTGCTGTGGCCAATACGGAACCTGAAATCCTGTTCGGATAGACGATTTTCTCCCCTGGAAATGCAACCTCACCATGAAGTTTAACATCCAAATAAGCACAGGTGGGGACCCAAGTAATGGTAGAACAGGAGGGCTTGCTCTGCATGTGGTTGACGCAGATTCGATCTCTAGACACCGCCCCCCTCCCAACACACACACACACACACACACACACACACACACACACACACACACACAGTCCCCCAAGCCCTACCAGGAATGATCAATCCCTGAGTGCAGAGCCAGGAGTCAGCCCTGAGCACTGCTGGGTGTGTCTCAAAAATCAAAATCAAAATAAAGCAGCACAGGACAAGTGATCAGGGCTAATCTGTCACTGTCACTGTCACTCCCGTTGTTCATCGATTTGCTCAAGCGGGCCCAGTAACGTTTCCATTGTGACACTTGTTACTGTGTTTGGCATATCGAATATGTAGCTTGCCGGGCTCTCTGAGAGGGGCGGAGGAATCGAACCTGGGTCAGCCAGGTCGGCCGCGTGCAAGGCATATGCCCTACCTGCTGTGCTATCGCTCCAGCCCATCAGGGCTAATAATAAACCAAAATATAAGTCCTGCCCTGGCATAAAGCCAAAGTGAAGGTGACTGTCCTCTCTCAGAACACTCACAGTCTCAGAGCGATGGTGCAGCTGGTCGGGTAATTTGCCTCGCACTCCGCCCACCGGGTACCACCCCTGGGACCACATCCAGCCCCTCCCAACCCACAGCACTGCTGGGAGTGATCCCTGAGCACAGAGCCAGGAGTCAGCCCTGAGCACGGCCAGGTATGCCCCCCTAATGGAACCAAAACCCAAAGAAAGAACGTCTCCTCATCTCTGATGCCTAGAGAGCACTTCCTGGTGGGCGGGGCGGGAGGGAGGTGAGATGGAGCCCGGAGCCCAGAGGAGAGGGGCCGGCCGGCCGTGCTGGTATTGATAAGGGGATGTGGTCACTGGGGGTGGGGGCGCAGGCAGGGCGGGTGCGAGGAGCCCCGGGAGAGAGGGACGGGTGGGCACGGGCACCCACCTGCCAGCTCCAGGGTGACGGAGCAGGCCTGCGTTCCGTGGCGGTTGCGGGCCGTGCAGGTGAGGGCCCCGAGGTCCCGGCGGCTCACACGGCAGATGCTGAGGCGGTACTGGTCATCGTCCGGCCGGCTGAGCTCGTACACACCAGCCCGCGCCTCCAGCAGGGCCCCTCGGCAGCTGAGTGACACAGGACAGGGAGGTTACCCGGGACCAGGGGCTGGGGTGCCCAGTCCGGGGGGTGTCCAGCGGGGCCCCACCTCCTCCAGATGATTTGGGCTTCCACGTGGTTAAAGGTGACCGTGACGCTGGCCGGCTGTCCCTCCACCACATACACGACGTCCGGCTTATCCAGCACCACGGGGGCCTCCTCCAGGGGTGGGCCTGGAGGTGGGTGGGGGGAGAGCACGGGCTCTGTGCTGGCCCCAGTGACAGCACCCCAATGACAGTATCCCAGTGAGAGCACCCCAATGAGAGCACTTCAGTGAGAGCACCCTAGTGAGAGCATCCCAATGAAAGCACCCCAGTAAGAGCACTCCAGTGAGAGCAATTCAATGAGAGCACCCCAGTGACAGCACTTCAGTGAGAGCACCCTAGTGAGCACCCCAATGAAAGCACCCCAGTGAGAGCACTCCAGTGAGAGCACTTCAGTGAGAGCACTCCAGTGAGAGCACTCCAATGAGAGCACCCAGTGAGAGCACCCCAATGAAAGCACCCCAGTAAGAGCACCCCAGTGAGAGCACTTCAGTGAGAGCACCCCAGTGAGAGCAACCCCAGTGTGAGCACCCCCCTCCTTTAACCTTCCCCAGTGCCCTCTGGGACTCCGTTTTTGACAGATGGAGAAGCTGAGGCTCGGGAAGGTCTAAGGATTCACCAAGGGCAGAGGGCAGCCCCTGGGCCTCAGCCTGGCCTGCTGGCGGCTGTCAGGAGCGCCAGGCCGGGGTCCTGCCCTCCCCACGGTGCTCCCATGCAGACCAGCCCCTTGGGCCCCCGTCCCAGGCCCCCCGCCCCCACCCCGCCTCAGCTCACCGTGCTCCAGCAGCTGCACCGGCTCGGAGGCAGGTGAGGGCTTGCTGCTGCTCTTGAGGGTGGTGCTGAGGACCCGGAAGACGTGCTGCACCCCCTTCCGCAGCCCCAGGGCCGCCCAGCCGGGCTCCCGCAGGCCAGCGGCCAGGACAGTCCACTGGTCTGAGCCCAGGACTTGGTGTTGCACGGTGTAGGTCAGCGTGTCGGGGTCTGCAGAGGGGCGGCCGCTAGAGGCAGGCAGGCCCGGGGGGGGGGTGATCCCCTCCCGCTCCACAAGCTCATCACGAGGCTCTGGGGCCCTGCCTCGGTTTCTCCCCTTCCCCCCCCCGCCCCCAGCAGCTCTGGCCGAAGGCTCAGGGCTGTGGTGGCGCAGGGCAGGGGCCAGTCACGGGCACGAAGGGCATTTCGCATGCACCCCGCTCCCGGCCACGACCCGAGGAGGGAAACAGAGGCAGAGGGGAAGGGGTGGGAGCACAAGGTGGGAGCACTGGCAGGCTCAGGAGAGAGATGAGGGGGTCTACATGCTGCTCCTGACCCTGGCAGGGAGGGCAGGGACCCCACTCCCGACCCTTCTCCCATGGGACCCCACCACTGACCCTTCTCTCATGGAACCCCACTCCTGACCCTTCTCCCATGGGACCCCACTCCTGACCCTTCTCTCACGGGACCCCACTTCTGACCCTTCTCCATGGGACCCCACTCCCAACCCTTCTCCACGGGACCCCATTCTTGACCCTTCTCCAGGGGACCCCACTCCTGACCCTTCTCCTGCGGACCCCCCACTCCTGACCCTTCTCAGGGACAGGGCTCACTCCAGACTCTGTGCTCAGGGATCACTCCTGGTGGGCTCAGGGGACCATATGGGATGCTGGGGACCAAATCCTGGCCAGCCATGTGCAGGGTAAGAGCCCTAACGCTGGACTATCACTCCACCCCCCCTGGGCCTCCACTCTGTGCCCACCCTGCCTGGGAATCACCCTGCCCACCTAATCTGGGTGCCCATCCTTCTCCCCCCCTGGATCCCTGGGCGCCCCTGTCCGAGTCTGCCGTGCCCGTGTCCACTGTCCCACATCGCCCCACCTACCAATGGCCACATCCATGCTCCGGGGCGGGTTCCAGGTGAGTGTGACCATCCTGCCTGTCACTGCCACCACCTGCGGGGCCCCATCGGGGGGTCCTGGGACCACATCTGAAAGCCACAGATTAAGCCACCTTTGGGTCCGATGACTCTGCAGGACCACCAACCCCCCGCCAGGGCAGAAAGCTGGGGATGGGGAAGGGAGGACACAGCCACCAGGAGTGAAGGTCGGGCCACAGGGCTCCCGAGAGCCCTTGGGAGGGAGCCCCAGCCAGCCACAGTCCTTACCTGTGACATAGAGATGGGCGTAGCAGGCGGCTTTGCCCAGCTTGTTGGCGATGACGCTCTTGTAGACGCCGGCGTGCTGCGGTCCCACGGCCGGGAACACCAGACGGTGGACATCCCTGTCTGGGGGTGGAGGGAGAGGGGGGACAATGACAGGGAGGCAGGGGCGAGGCTGGGGCGTGCCACCACCAGGAAAACCTGGGGAGGGGGGCTGGAGTGATAGCACAGTGGGTAGGGTGTTTGCCTTGCACGCAGCCCACCCGGGTTCGATTCCCAGCATCCCATATGGTCCCCCGAGGACTGCCAGGGATAATTCCTGAGTGCAGAGCCAGGAGTAACCCCTGGGCATCGCCGGGTGTGACCCAAAAAGCAAAAAAAAATTGGAGAGGGGACCTTTTGGGGGGGCTACCCCTGGTAGTGCTCAGGGCTTACTCCTGGCGGAGCTCGGGGGACACTCTATGGTGCTGGGAATTGAACCCAGGTTGGTCTCATACAGGCAAGTGTCCCACCCACTGTCTTACCACTCTGGAACCTTCTTTTTGAAAAATTAAAAAAATTGTTTCTTTTTTTTTTGCGGGGGGGGGCTGTTGAGCCACAGCGGCTGTTTTATTTCAGGCCTCACTCCTGACTCTGCACCCAGGAATCACTCCTGGCAGGCCCATTGGATGCCAGGGATCAAATCCAGGCCAGCCACGTGCAAGGTAAGTGCCCTACCTGTTGTAATTTTGCTCTAACCCTCCAGATTTTAAATGTTTCGGGTTGGGGGCCACACCTGAGGGTATTCAGGAGAGTCTCCTGCCCCCCACCCCGGCTCTGTGTTCAGGGACCACGCCTGGCAGTGCTCGGGGAACCACGTGTGGTGACGGTGTGAATCGGGGGTTCGGGGTCAGTGGCAGCTGCCATATGTGAACCCCTGCACTCCCTCTCTGTGCCCCGGGTCCAAGTTCTAACCAGGCTCACCCCAATCCCCTCTTCTCTCACCCCCCAGCATCACTGCCAGGCTCAGTTCGGTCCAGAGCCTATGAAAACGCCCTCGTCATTCAGGTGCTACCTGTCACCCGTGGCCCTGGGAAGCTCCAGGCCCTGCCACAGGCTGCATGGCCTCCCAAGCCCCAAGCTCTTTCTGGCCGTGTCCTCTGCTAAGCCTCTGTGTGCTGACCCCGCCGTCAGACCCTGCACAGGCCAGGCCCGAGCCATCTCCACACGTGCTCGCGACATTCTCCCCTGAAACATGCCCCCTTACTCAATCCCTCCAGCCTACAGGCTGCAGTTCTCCTGGGTACCAGCCCTGGGGACCCACCTCCTCAGCAGGGTCCTGGGGTCCCTACTGCACCCCCATCTCTGCCCATGAGCCTCTACATGCTGAGCCCACACATAACTGAGGATGCTCTTTATTCTGTGTGTGTGTGTGTGTTGGTTCTGTGTGTGTGTGGTGTGTTGGTTCTGTGTGTGTGTCTGTGTTGGTTCTGTGTGTGTGCTGGTTCTATGTGTGTTGGTTCTGTGTGTGTGGTGTGTTGGTTCTGTGTGTGTGTGTCTGTATTGGTTCTGTGTGTGTTGGTTCTCTATGTGTGTGTGTTGGGTGTGTATGTGTGTTGGTTCTGTGTGTGTGTTGGTTCTGTGTGTGTGTGTGGTATGTTGGTTCTGTGTGTGTGTCTGTGTTGGTTTTGTGTGTGTTGATTCTCTATGTGTGTGTGTTGGGTGTGTGTGTTGGTTCTGTGTGTGTGGTTTGTTGGTTCTGTGTGTGTGTCTGTATTGGTTCTGTGTGTGTTGGTTCTCTATGTGTGTGTGTTGGGTGTGTATGTGTGTTGGTTGTGTGTGTTGGTTGTGTGTGTGTGGTGTGTTGGTTCTCTGTGTGTTGGTTCTCTGTGTGTGGTGTGTTGGTTCTCTGTGTGTTGGTTCTCTGTGTGTGGTGTGTTGGTTCTGTGTGTGTCTGTGTTGGTTCTGTGTGTGTTGGTTCTCTATGTGTGTGTGTTGGGTGTGTGTGTGTTGGTTCTGTGTGTGTGTTGGTCCTGTGTATGTGGTGTATTGGTTCTGTGTGTGTGTTGGTTCTCTATGTCTGTGTGTTGGCTGTGTGTGTGTTGGTTCTGTGTGTGTGTGGTGTGTTGGTTGTGTTGGTTCTGTGTATGTTGGTTCTCTATGTGTGTGTGTGTTGGTTCTGTGTGTGTGTGTGTGTGTGTGTGTCTGTTGGTTCCTTAAAGATGGGGCTGGGTCTAAGCAATGGTATAGTGAGTAGGGAACTTGCTTTGCAGATGACGACCCAGTTTATCCCCAGTGCCAGGAATAACCCCTGAGCATTGCTGGATGTGGTTCCCTGCCTGTCTCCCTCCCCAAAACAAAACAAAACAAAACAAGACAAAACAAAACAAAACAAGACAAAACAAAACAGGGCTTCCTAGTCCTGCCAGGCCCGAGTCAGGCCCTGCACATCCAAGCAACAGCTCGCTGCTGCTGCAAATGACTGTCAGGATTCCGCCCTGTCTCACAATCTGAGAAAACTGCCAGGTGGACCTTGCCGGGGTCATGGATGTGTCCGAAGTCACCGGGCTGAGCAATGAGGGTGCAGGGGCCCGAGCTGGGGCCCCTCTGACTCCGCTGCCCTTTCCCTACTGCCGGTCCTGGAAGGACGGTACGCGGCCATCTCTGGTGGGGGCAGGAAGGAGAAGTGACCGGCTTTGTCCTCCCTCCCGTCACAGCCGGCCCCTCCTCTCCTGGTTATCTGCCCAGGACGCGCACCCCCTACTTTATCTCTGTTGAAGCTATTTATAGAGCAAGAGGAGCAGAGGCTGTTGCTGCGCCCAGAGACACAAGCAGGGCTGCAGGCGCAGGGCCGGGGGGCTGGGAGATGGGGGGAGACCGGAAGACCAAGACTGAGCAGAGAGCCGGGAGGCGTCCAGGGGTACATCTCAGGGAGAACGTGGGGACTGGAGTTCTCCTGGCTAGGAGCTGGATGCCAGACCGCATGGTTTCACCGCTCACTCAGCCTCAGTTTTCCCCTCTGTAAATGGGGACAGTAATGTTTGCCTCCCAGTGCTCGGTCTTACTGGGCCTTGAGCACAGAGGGCCAGACACGGGGGAAGCTTTTATTATTATTATTATTATTATTATTATTATTGTGGTGGTGGTGCTCAGGGCTTACTCCTGACTCTGCTCTCTGGAATCAGTCCAGGAGGGAATCGAGGGATCCTCTGGGGTGCTGAGAATTGAACCCAGGTTGGGCGTGTGGTGTGTTCCCCACTGTGCTATGGCTCCATCCCTGGGGAAGCTCGTAGAGGCCAGAGTGGGGCCCACTGAGCTGAGCGAGAACTCCCGGCGGGGCAAGGGTTGATTTGGTTCGATTTGGTTATGTGGGGAACCACACCCCAAAGTGCCCAGAATGACTCCCAGCTCAGTGCTCAGAGGCTGCTCTTGATGGTGCTTGGGGGAACCACATGGTGCCAGCGATGCAACCTGGGTCCCCACCTATGATCTAAGGGAGCTGAGGAAGGCCTGGTCCCAAATAGTTCCCTCTGGGCCCCCATCCTCGACCTCCAGATCCTTTATTTGGGGGGAGGACCACTCGTGGCAGTGCTTGGGAGACCATGGGGTGTCAGAGAACAAACTCATGGAGTCCTCGTGGCCTCCACAAGCATCCTGGCCCCAGCTCCTACTTTTTTGGGGTGGGTAAGGGGAAATTTGGTCACACCTGGCTGTTCTCAGGGCTTACTCCTGGTCCTGTGCTCAGAACTCACTCCTGGCAGTGCTCGGGGACCCAACGCAATGCTGGGGATCGAACCTGGGTCAGGGATGGAGTGTGGAAGACAAGCTCGGTCCTTGCCCTACCTTCTGTATTATCTCTCCACCCCCAGCTCCTACTTTCTTGTGTTTTATTTATTTATTTTTTCTCTTTTGATGTTGGGTCACACCCAGAGATGCTCAGGGGTTACTACTCCTGGCTCTGCACTGAGGAATTACTCCTGGCAGTGCCCGGGGGGTGGGGGCGGGGGGGAGAGGGACCGTATGGGATGCCAGGGATCGAATCCAAATCACCCATGTACAAGATAAACGCCCTCCTGCTGTACAATATCACTCCAGCCGCTTTTTGATTTAGTGACCCTGGACCAAGCACCTTTGGTGGCCTCAGGCTCTGGGAGGGAGGGTTTGAGCCCCCACTTTCTCAATCAGCATGTCAAAGGACAGTGAGGGGAGGACCACAGGGAGGTGACAAGATCAGCCATTGGCCGCCTGTAGCTGCCAGGCGAGGCCCAAGTGGAAACTGCCATCGCGCTCAGGGACAAGGAGCCACGGAGCACTTGCCCGTGGTCAGTAGCGACCATCCTGCCTCTACTAAGCAGGCTCTGGGTGGCGGCTGGGCAGAAGCGACCTGTAGGGGCCAGCAGGAGGAAGCCGCGCCCTGCAGAGTGGGGACAGAGGGGGCCCTGGTCCCCCGGGGTCACGTACACTGAGTCATACGTCGGTCTTCACTGCTCTGGATGCGGTGGCCGTTATGGAACCAGCTGATGGTGGGGTAGGGCAGGCCGGTCACCTGGCACTCCAGCATGGCCTCCCTGGCCAGGCCCACCTCGAGGTCCTGCAGGGGCCGCAGGAAGTCGGGCATGGACAGCCGCTCCAGCTCGCCCTGCTCGGGTTCCTCGGGGATGGACGGCATCTTCTCCAGCTTGGAGCTGTAGGAAGCAGCGCAGCTGTCCAGAGGCGCGGAGAGGGAGGGGTCCGGGCAGCCCCGGGAGCCGAGGCCACCACCACCACCATCCTCCGTGTCCCCCTGCGCCCGCAGGTACCTGGGGCCGGTGGCGGCGGTCCGCGGCTCTTCCACGTAGAGCTGCGCTGAGCAGTGCGCCTGGCCGTGGGTGTTGGTGGCGCTGACCGCGTACAGCCCCTCGTCGTCGCTGCCCACGTGGGCGATGTGCAGGGCGTGCAGACCCCCGTCCTGCTGGAGGCGGATGTTCTCACTCTCCTGCAAGGGCCGGCCTGCGGGGGTGGGGTGGGAGGGCAGGGATGCAGAGTGGACCATCACGCAGGCGCAGAGGCGCGCGGTTCCTCTGTCTCCTCGCCCCCCTCCCCCCCCACAACACAACCCCGCCCTTGGTAGGGGGGGAGCGGTCCCTACCGAAATGAGTCCAGGTGACGGAGGGGGGCGGGGTGCCGCTGATCTTGCAGTCCAGGCGCGCGGCGCGGCCCTCCAGCACCTCCACGTCCTCCAGCTGCCGGGTGAACAGTGGAGCCAGCGAGGGGCGCACGGTCAGCCGGGCACTGCAGGTCAGCTCATCTGCGGGGAGGGGGCAGGGGAGGGGGGGGGTCAGGACCGGGATATGGTGTGGAGTCCCGGCACACGTCAGACCACAGCGCCTGCCCAGTGCTCGGCAAGAAAAGGGAACCGAGAGGCTGGAGAGTACAGTGGGTAGGGTGCTTGCCTTGCACGGGGCTGACCCCGGTTCGATTCCCAGCATCCCATATGTTCCTCCCCACCCACCCCAGCACCTCCAGGAGGGACTCTTGAACACAGAGCCAGGAGTAACCCCGGAGCATCGCTGGGTAAGGCTCAAAAACCAACATTTTTTTTCTTTTTGGGTCACACCTGGCGATGCACAGGGGTTCCTCCTGGCTCTGCACTCAGGAATTACTCCTGGCGGTGCTCAGAGGAGCATATGGGATGCTGGGAATCGAACCCGGATCGGCCGTGTGCAAAGCAAACGCCCTACCTGCTGTGCTATTGCTCCAGCCCCCCCCCCAAAAAAAAACCCAAAATTTTTTATTTCTTTTTGACTTTTTGGGTCACACCTGGCAATGCTCAGGGGTCACTTCTGGCTCTGCACTCAGAAATCATTCCTGGTGGTGTTCAGGGGACCATATGGGATGCTGGGAATCGAACTCGGGTCGACCGTGTGTAAGGCAAACACCCTACCCGCTGTGCTATCACTCCAGCCCCCCAAAAAAAACCAAAATATTTTTTATTTTTTAAAATTTTTATTTATTTTTTGCTTTTTGGGTCACACCTGGCTCTGCATTCAGAAATCATTCCTGGCAGTGCTCAGGGAACCATATGGGATGCTGGGAATCAAACCCGGGTCAGCTGTTTGCAAGGCAGACACCCTCCCCACTGTACTATCGCTCCAGCCCCCCCCAAAATAACAAAATATTTGTTAAAAAGGAAAAGAAAAAGAAAAGAGGGGGGACTAGCCAGGAGTTGGAGGTTGGTAGAACCCAGAATAACAGGAGTGAGACAGAGGGCAAAACCCAAACATCACCAAGGGGCCCGGAGTCAGCGTGGGGTGAGGGCGTAGGCACTCATCATGCATACAGCCGAACCCAGTTTGATCCCCAGCACTGAACAGCATCCCCTGAGCACAGAGCCAGAAGTAATCCCTGAGCCCTAGAGGGTGTGATTCCCCCCAACAAACCAACAAAAAAAACCGAAGACCAGAAAGATACTATAGCCCAGTAAGGCACTTGTCTTGGACACGGTCAACCCCAGTTCCGTACCTGCCACCCCATATGGTCCCCTGAGCCCTGCCAGGACTGATCCCTGACCGCAGAGGCAGGAGTAAGCTCTGAGCACAGTCAGGTATGGCTCCAAAACAATTTCCAAGGGCTGGAGCGATAGTTCAATGCGTAGGGCGTTTGCCTTGCACGCGGCCAACCAGGGTTCGATCCCCAGCATCCCATAGGGTCCTCCAAGCACCGCCAGGAGTAATTCCTGAGCGCAGAGCCAGGAGTAACCCCTGAGCATCACTGGGTATGACTCAGAAAGGAAAAAAACCCAACAATTTCCCCAAAATCAATGAAACCAAAGCCAGGACCTTCTCAGGCATGTAGGGGATGGGGAGTGCAGGTAGCAGCCGGTCCCACCCTCTCCCCCCACCCTTCACTCACCCTACCCTCCACCCCAGCAAGGGAAGAAGGGACTGGAAGCCAGACCCTCCCCCACACCTTTCAGGGTTTCAGGGCTGCCTATGCTCCACCCCGCCCCCCAAACCAGACCAGACAGGTCCTCCACCAGACTGCACCCTCTCCCAGCGCACCTGGCCCTGCTTACAGAAGCACCTCCTGGACCCCCCGCCCCCGCGGGGGCCAGCATCTCAGCCTGGGGAGGCATTAACTCCCTTTCTCGGAGGATGGCCAGGGACAGGACAGGTCAGAGATGTCATTCATAATAACAATGGTGACATTTATTAGGTGCTGTGCTTCGTTCTTTCCAGCCATTATCCTACTAATCCTGTCAATCCCCTCCGAGGCCGGGGATCATCACGAGCCCCTTTTGTAACAGATGAATAGTCAGTCCCTGGCTCTGGCTCCGAGATAACGGAGACCCTTGAGGTGACTTCTCAGAGAGTCGCGGGATTGGCAGGGGGCAGGGCAAGAGAGCTAGAGCTGGGTCTGCCTGCATCCCTGCTAGAACAGTGCAGTCAAAACATGGCAGGGCGCCCCGCAACCTGCACCCCTGCTCTCCTCTGGCGAGTGGAACACCTCCCCCCTCGCCCCCTCCCCCCAATGTCCGGAGCGGTCCCCCCCCCCCCCCGTACGGCTCTCGGGCGCCCCCTGCAGGCCGGAGGCGGCGTTACCTTTGGCCGTGCTGAGCTTGCAGGTGTACACGCCGCTGTCGTCCTCGTGCACCGAGGTCAGCAGCAACTTGCACTTGCGGCCGTCGAAGTGCATCTTGCATTTGAGCAGCGCCGGCTGCAGCAGGCGGCCCCGGCACAGCCAGTCGACCTCCACGTCGGCGGGCCCCGCCACCAGGCACTCAAACAGCGCCATCTCCCCGGCCCCCACGTCCACATCCTGCAGGGGCGCCAGCACGGCCAGGGACCGGCTTTCTGGGTGCGCTGGGGGCGGGAGGGGAGGGGGAGGGCGGAAGTGGCCACGGGGAGAGGTGGGGTTGGGGTTGGGGTGGGGTGGGGTGGGGGGTGGGCACGCACGGAACAGAGACACACGGGGCAGGAAGACACACACACGCACACGGAGAGACAGACAGACAGACACAGAGAGAGAGATGCGTTTGGTTTCGCTGCAGGCGTTGGGGGGTGGGGTGGGGATGGGGGGGAGCCAGCCCGCCCACCCGGCCGGCCAGGATGGCAGGGAGCTCCCAGGCTGGGGACTGGTACCCCGAGTCGGGCCGGAGATTGTGTGTGCGTGGGGAGGAGGGTCTCCTAGAAGCTAAGGGGTACCAAGGGCAGGCAGGGCATCGGCGGCGGCGGCAAAGAAAACAACAGCGGAGCGGCTGGGTACAAATGGGCCTTTATTTGCGCTGAGAAACAGGACTTCCGGACCTCTGGCTTGCCTCCCCCAAGTCCCACATCCCGGAGGTCGCGCCCTCCTTCCCAGACGGGGTGCCCCTGGCCCGATAGGACAGTGAATGAGGGGTGGCCCCGAAGCGGCCCCATCTGCCCAGAGCCAGCTGGGCAGGGCGGGTCTCGGCACCAGCACAGGGCACCCCCGGGGCCTCTGGCTTTTGGTCTTGAGTGAGATACAAAGTGTTGGGCCACTCGGAACCGTTTCTGGAATGGTTGAACCTTTCCCCTCACCTGCCCCCCCCCTCGCGAACCCCCTCAACAAGCCCCTCTGGGTCCCGCCCTGGGTGGACGCCAGGGCCCCCGTCCTCAGGCCTCTGCCTCATCCCCAGGCATCCTTCCGGCTGTCACAGACACACAGACAGACAAACGGTGAGACAGACAGGGCCTGTAGCCGCGGTAGCACATGCGCTGACTCGGGTGCTCCCCTGCAGGGGGAGAAACTGGGGTGGGGTGGGGGCTGAGACCCCCTCCCTCACCACCTCTTCCTGACACTGTCTACACACTGGGGGGGCTCCTGGCCTGCCCGGCCCTATGTCCACGTGGCGGGGGTGGGGGAGTGGGGGGGTGGGGGGTGGAGGAAGGGCCCACAGGGGTGCGTGGACTAGCAGGGGTGGGTGGGGAGGGAGGCGGGGACAGGGTCCGGGCCAGCGGAGCCGGCAAGGTCTGTGGGCAGGAGGCAGTGAGACACAGCGAGGTCCGAGAGGTGCCTGAGACAGGGGCGCGGCTCGGAGGGCAGCGGGGGGGAGCGCAGGCGGCCCCCTGAGCTCACTCGCCTGTGTACAGACAAAAACCGCAGTCAGCAAGCGGCAGGTTAGCGCAGCGAACGCGCACACAGGCACAGGCACGCGCACGCACAGGCGCACAGGCACGCGCACGCAGCCCTAGCTCGGGGGTCCCCCCTGCGGGCACGCGCCGACAGGGCAGCGCCCCGCAAAGTCCGCTCCGGGGACGGGGCGGGGGCTGGCTGCCAACCTGGTCTCTAAGATTCCTCGGCGGTGGCATTAATGCACAGATCCCGGGTGCACCCCAAAACCTGGGAGGTCGGGGAAGGTGGGGGGCTTTGCAAAGAGGACGCAGCGCAGAGACGGGGGGGGGGTTGTTAGCACAGAGAGGCGGGGCGGGCCCCAACCTTGGAGGGGGACCTCGGAACCGGAGGAGGGCGGGGCTCGGGTGCCAGCCGGGGTGCGGTGGGGGGGGCGCTGCGGGGTCGAGGGCAGCGCTCAGAACTGGCCTCTGCCAAGGTCGGACCAGACTGGGGGCAGGAGTGGCTGAGGACAAGGTCCCTGCCCCTGAACGGCCCCCAGGGGGCGGAGGAGGGATGGAGACCACCAGCCCCGGGTGGGGTGGGGGCAGTCTGACCTGCCCGCGACCAGCCCCGCTGCCCGGAAGGCCGGTGCCCCCTCACTTTTCACAGCCCGGCCCATCCTAAAATCCCTATCATGCTCCACGCCCCGGTCACCCCAGGGTCCCTCCGAACGGGTCCAGCTCTCAGCTCTGCCACCCACTACTTTCCGCACAGCAATGGGGGGCGGGGAGGGTGGGCACGGAGCAGGGGGCGTTTGTGGGGGCGCCTGGGGCTAGGTGAGGAGAGGAGAGTCGGTGGCGGGCATCGGGGGCCCGGCTGGGCTCGGGTGGGCGGGGAGCGAGGCCCCAGCACCCCACCGGTGTGTGGCCGGGACCAGCGCGTTGTCCAACCTGTCCTCGGCCCATTTATTCCCCAATGCCAGCGTCTAGGTTCTGGGGCGCACAGCTTTCCCCCAAGGGCCCCTGGGGTGGGGCGGGTGGCACCCTGCGCGGAGGTGGCCGGCGCCAGGGGCGGGGGGGAGGGGTGTGGGGGTGTGGGTGGATGGGGAGCAGGCTGGCGAGGGGCGCGGGGAGGGGGGCGGGACTCACCTCGGACCTCCAGGCGGGCCTCGCACTGCCGCGCCCCGTACTCGTTGACCGCCTTGCAGGTGTAGAAGCCCGCGTCGCACGCGCTCGGCCGCCAGGATGCGCAGCCGGCACAGGCCACCCTCGGCCTCCTCGGCGAAGCGCCGCTGGTCGGGGCGCACGGGCTGGCGGTTCCTCAGCCTGCCGGGTGGGCAGCGACTCAGCTCTGGGCCGAGCCAGGCCAGGTCGCCTTCCTGGCGCCCCCGCCCTCAGGGTGGTGTCCCCAACCCGCGCTCTGCCATGGTTCCTGCAGACCTGGGCCCCTGCTGCGCCTTTTGGGGGAAGGTTATACCTGGCAGGCGATGGTCAGGGGCTACTTCCAAGGCTTTGGTGACCCTTGCAGTCCCAGGGACCAAACCCCAGGCTCCTGCACCATAATGCCTGCACTCCTGTTCACTTGGCTAGCCCTCTTGCCCTGATGAGCTCTGGATGCTTCTAGAATATCCTTCTGTCTTTTTACTGAGGTACAATGGGCAAGCAGCTCCCCTACTTCCTCCCCTTAAGGGGTACATTTATAACTTCCCAATGTTTTTATATATTTTGTTTGTTTGGGGGCTCACACCCAGCGGTGCTCAGGGGTGACTCCTGACTGCACTCAGGAAATCACTCCTGGCGGAGTTCAGGGGACTATATGGGATGCCCAGGATCGCACCAGGGGTCCTCTGAGTGTAAGGGAAACACTCTACCTGCTATAGTATCTCTCTGGTCCCAATTACCATGGTAAAAAAAAAAAAGGCCGACCCGGGTTTGATTCCTCCCGTCCCTCTCGGAGAGCCCAGCAAGCTACCGAGAGTATCCCGCCCGCACGGCAGAGCCTGGTAAACTCCCCTTGGTGTAGTTCGATATGCCAAAAGCAGTAACAAGTCTCACAATGGAGATGTTACTGGTGCTCGCTTGAGCAAATCAATGAACAGTGGACAGTGCTACAGGGCACTCAATAATCAATGAAGGGGCTGGAGCAATAGCACAGCGGGTGGGGCGTTTGCCTTGCATGCAGCCGACCCAGATTCGATTCCAGCATCCCATATATACCCCTGAGCACTCGCCAGGAGTAATTCCCTGAGGTGCATAAGCCAAGAGTAACCCCTGTGCATTGCCGGGTGTGACCCAAAAAGAAGAAAAATCAAACAAACCAACAATCAATGAAAAAACGGAAAGGAGGATGGAGAGATAAGTCAAGAGGTTAAGGTGCTGGTGTTGCATACGGCCAAGTCTGGTTCTATCCCGGACCTTGAGCACTACCAGGAGTGATCACCTGAGCACTGGTGGGTGTAACCCAACCCTCTCCCCCCCCAAAGAAAAGAGAACCCAAGACCAAAGAGATGGTTCGAGGGCTGTCACAGGCTGTATGCAGAAAGACTGGAGGGTCCCCCAGCTCTGCAAAAGCCCCCGGAACACCACTGGGTGTGGCCTCAAAACAGAAAACCCAAAACCAAAAATCAATTAAGACAGGCTGGAGCAACAGTACAGTGGAGAGGGCGCTTGCCTTGCACATGGCAGATCCCCAGCACCCCATATGGTCCCCTGAGCACCTCCAGGTGTGATTCCCGTGTGCAGAGCCAGGAGTAAACCCTGAGCATCACCAGGTGTGCACATGCCCCTCATCAAAAAAAAAAAAGGGGTAATGGGGCTGGGGTGAGAGCACAGCAGGTAGAGCGTTTGCCTTGCATGTGGCCGGCCCGGGTTTGATCCCTTGGTATCCCATATGGTTCCTGAGTGCTCAGGGGAATATATGGGATGCTGGGAATCGAATCTGGGTTGGCTGCATGTAAGGCAAACGCTCTATCCACTGGCTATTGTTCCAGCCCCTTCATTGATTACTGAGTGCGCAGTAGCACTGTCCTCCCATTGTTCATCGATTTGCTCGAGCGGGCACCAGTAACATCTCGAGTGCAGAGCCAGGAGTAACCCTTGAGCATGTCCAGGTGTGGCCCCTCCTCAGAAACAAAAAAGGGGGGTGATGGTGGGAGCGATAGCACAGCGTGTAGGGTGTTTGCCTTGCACGCAGCCGACCCGGGTTCGATTCTCAGCATCCCATATGGTGCCCCCGAGCACTGCCAGGAGTCATTCCTGAGTGCAGAACCAGGAGGAACCCCTGCATCAAAAGCTTCACAGGCATAGGAACCTGCAGAGTCTGAGCCCAGGCTGGGCACTGAGCAACGAGGGCAGCTGGGCACCCAAGTGAACAGATGGACACCACGAGCACAGGGCAGGGAGGGCCATGCAGGGGGGGCCCCTGGGATGGGTCGAGCCTGGGGGGGGGTCCTGCCCGTTGGCCCCCAGCAGCTACACAGGGCGGGGCTGGCGGACACTCACCAGGACACCACAGGCTTGGGTTCGCCCTGCACACGGATGCTCATCGTCACGTCCTGACCTTCTCTCACCGACTGGTCCATGAGAGAGACCTGAAGGTGGACCCGCACGTTCAGGGGAGATAGTCAGGGCCTGTTTGGGGCTTCGGGGGTGGGGGGCTGGGGCAGAGGACCCTCTTCCAGATCATTCTGAGGCTGGCTTGAGATAGGAAGGGTGGGAGTGGAGGGTGGGGGGATACGCGGCAAGCAATAGGCCTGACAGGACTCTGGGGGGAGTCCCGAGAATAGAGGGGGGTCGTGAAGGAACAGGGAGCCCGTGGGAGGCTGGGGGGCTGTGCTCGGGGCCCTGACCTTGAAGCTGGGAGGTGCCTTGGAGTTGGTGTCGGAGGGTCGGCGGTTCTGGCTGGAAGTGGGCTTCATGGCTGGACTCTGGGGCCAGGCCTCGCCAGGCTCCGGGAACTCCTCTGGGGGGCTCAGGTACTCCTCGTCAGAGGTGATGGGGCTGCTGAAGGGGGACGTGGACCCACCTGAGGAGAGACACAAGACAGACATGGCCGGCGTGTAGGGTGGCAGAGACAAGAGTGGAGAGAGAGAGAGAGAGAGAGAGAGAGAGAGAGAGAGAGAGAGAGAGAGAGAGAGAGAGAACGCAGCTGGGGCCAAGGACCTGATAAGGTCTGCAACATTGCACAGGCTGACCCCTATGTGACCTTGTCCCAGGGCTTTAGCATCCCCCCCATCAGTCCCTCATTCCTGGTTACCTCACCAACACACCCCACCCCTGCAGACCCTCCCCAATGAGGGAGACCCTGGGGAAGGGCCTGGGCAGTAGAGCGGAGAGTCCCAGGGCCTTGTGGGAGACTTGGAATTCCCCGGGAGCCGTGGTCACATTCCTGGCACGGGAGGGCAGCGCCAACGGTCGGATGGGGGGGCTCAGGAGTGGACCCCACCCAGGGCACGTGGGGGAGCACTGCCTGTGCAGAGGGCCCACCCCGGCCTGGGCCCTCCATCCCACTCCCCACTTCTCTGCTTCCCACTCCGAGACCCCTCCCGGCCTGGACTGAACCTGGACTCCCACCCCCACCCCGCCATGTCTCAGGGGGAGCAAGTCTGAGTTCTCACGCCCCCCCACCCACCCAGGAGGGCGGCTCAGGCTGGGGTGGGGGGGGGGACGGAGAGGGGGACTGGCCCTGCTGCTTCCGGGGAGGGGTGTCCCCCAGGCCGCGACGCCCTCCCGTGCCGCTGGCCGGGGGCCCAGCCTGACTGCGCTGGCCGCAGTCCGACTGCCAAATACAGACATGAATCTGCCCGGGCCCTGGCCCCTCCTCCTGCTCCAGCTCCCCCCCCTCCCCACCTCAAGCCCCTGAGGCCCGGACACCCCACCCCAGCCGGGACTGCACCCCAACTCACCCCCAGGCGTGGTACACGGCCCCCCCCGGCCGGCCCCGGCTTGCCCTATGCCACCCCTGCTGGCGCCCGCTTGGGCGCACTCACGGCTCCCACAGCTGACCCCGAGGCTGTGCCGCGGGCCTTGGGGGAGGGGACCGGTGGGGGGGGAGGGGGAGGGGGTGCAGGCCGGCGGGGGCGGGACCGTGCTGGGTGGCAGGCGGGCAGCTGGCCCGAAGGTGCTGGAGACCAGCAGGGCCCGCACGGAATGGGCGGGGCAGGGTGGCCGGTGCCTTTCACTGCCCTGGCTCAGCCCTGGTCACAATGCCAGGAGCTCCTGGGTCCCAGCAAGGGGGTGGCCTTGTCTCACCCCTACTGCGGAGTCTCCCGGGGAGGGCCTGGTGGCAGGTGCCCCCTAGACTCCTCCCCCACAAGGGGTCGGAAATGTACCCACCAGACCCCACTTGCCGCTTTCTCTGGGGTATGAGACCTGCCAGGCCCCCCAGACCCTTCCCGGCGACGCCTCCATCCTCCTGAGGGGACCCAGAGTCCCCCCTGCCTCCACCTCCACTCCTACCTCCCCCCTTCCCGGGCCTGCTCCCCACGTCCCTCCTACAGGCCCGCCCCAGAGCGGGAGTGTCCGTCCACTGGGGAAGGGACTGGGAGATGGAGTGGGGGCGGGGAGGCTGGCCCTCGGTCCCCCACCCCCTCCCCCAGAGCCACATTCCCCAGCTCTGACCTGTGTTTCCCCGCACTGCCCGTGCAGGGCGGGTGGGTGCCGGGTGCCGACAGGGGGGACCATCACTCATGTCGGGTGTCTGGACGCGGGGGCGGCAAGGACGCCCCGGGGGGGCACCTGCTGGGCCCAGGGTCACCGAGGGGGCTGAGGTCACAGGCAGGTGCCCCCCTGGGGCCAGGTGCCCCCCCCTCCCCACGGAGCCTGGGGACCTTTGGGGTCAGAATGGGCTCTTGGAGTAAAAGGGAATGCGTCTGCCACAGAGGCGGGGGGGGGGATGGGATAGGCTGGGGGGGGTGGGAGGGATACTGGGATCATCGGTGGTGGGGAATGGGCACTGGTGGAGGGATGGGTGCTCGATCATTGTATGACTGAAACGCAGGCACGGAAGTTTGTAAGTCTGTAACTGAACTCACGGTGATTCATTGAAAAATTTAAAAAAATAAATTTAAAAAAAGAATGGGCTCTTGGCCTGTGGGGGGGGGGATGGACGGAGGTGGGGGGGGTGCTGGCAAGGTTTGCAGGGAGCCATGGGGGCCCCCAGGTGGTGTCCAGGGCTACTGCACCTTGGGGACGATCAGAGAGACCAAGTCAGCCAAGCACCCCAAGCCCCTGAGAGGGGCAGGGGCGGGCGGGTGGGGACGGTTGGGGACAGTTGTCAGAGGGCCGGGCTGGGGCGACAGCACAGCAGGGAGGGTGTCTGCTTGGTCACCTTCCTTTGCGCTGGCCTGGGTTTCTCGCTGTGTTCAAGAGTAGCCAGCAAATGGTGGGTGCAGATGCCGCCCCCCAAGCCAGAGGCTGCCCTCCCGCCCCCACTGATTCTGCGCACGCCGTCAAATCTTTCCACACCACCCTCAGGTCATGACCCCCAGTACAGGGCTTTGGGGCACCTATAACCGCCGCCCCGCCAAGGGACAGCACAGCCACCTACAGGAACGGCACCAACCCAGCCTGCTCCCCTGACACTTCAGGTACCACCCCCGTCAGGACTGCAGGGAGGGGAGCTCAGAGAAGGAAGTTTGGGGCCCCCCACCCCCTCCCAGGAAGGTTTCTTCTTTAGACAGAAGAATCAGGTTCCCATAAATGGGGACACAGAGATAGTACAGGGGTTAAGGCGCTTGCCTGGCAAGGTTCAATCCCACATAGGGTCCCCCCAGGCCCACCAGGAGTGATCCCTGAGTGCAGAGCCAAGAGCACGTCTGGAGCCATCCCCAGATATGGCCCCAAACTGGAAACAAAGGGACAGAGGAAAGGAGAGAGGAAAGGAGAGAGGAAAGGAGGGAGGAAGGGAGGGGGAAGGAAAGAAGGAAGGAGGGGAAGGAAGGAAGGAGGGAGGGAGGGAGGCAAGGAAGGAAGGAAGGAAGGAAGGAAGGAAGGAAGGAAGGAAGGGGGAAGGAGGGAGGGAGGTAGGAAGGAGGGAGGGAAGGAGGGAAGGAAGGAAGGGGGAAAGGAAGGAAGGGGGAAGGAAAGAAGGAAGGAGGGAAGGGAGGGAGGGAAGGAAGGAGGGAGGGAGGGAAGGAAGGAAGGAAGGAAGGAAGGAAGGAAAGAAGGAAGGGAGGGGGAAGAAAAGAAGGAAGGAGGGAAGGAGGGAGGGAAGGAAGGAAGGGGAGAGGGAGGGAGGGAGGGAAGGAAGGAAGGAAGGGGGAAGGAACGAAGGAAGGAGGGAAGGAGGGAGGGAAGGAAGGAAGAAAGGAAGGAAGGAAGGAAGGAAGGAAGGAAGGAAGGAAATTGCAGTATAAAGACACACGCTGTGACTGTTCCCAGGACAGAGACAATCCTGGGAGGTGGCCTCAGCACGTCGCCTCACTCTGCCATTCAACTTCAAGACTCCAGAGTCAAACACCTGAGCCCTGAACCCCTGCTCCCCACTGCGGGTTCCTAACTCCAGCGCAGACCTCCAGTGTCTGTATGTATCAGAAATCATCTGGGGGGTGGGTGGGGGGCGCCTTAAACCACTGGGAGCTGGGCCCCACCGTGGCACTGGGGCTCAGTCGGTCTGGCCGGGCAGACACTGTGTATCTGACATTCCCTGAGGGGACAGCTCGCGATGTGGTCCCTACCGCCATCCCCTCCCCCGCTCGGCAGCACCCACTGGCCCATGAGGGCAGGTCGCGGGTCCCACCCAGCCTCCCTGCACCATCTCGGAGGCTCCTGGCTTCCTTGGCTGCCACCTCGCCCCTGGGTGCGCTCGGTCTCCGGGATGGATGCTGACGGCTCGAGCACGGTGGCATTCTTGGGCCGTGGGACGGCAGAGATGACAGGTCAGATACATGTGCCATGATGACAGCAAGGGGGACCATGGCGACCAGAGGGAAGGAGCCCAGGGCTGGGGAGAGCAGGGTGGGGGGGGTGACCGTCTCTGGGGGACGGGGTGGGAAGGAATCAAGGGCTTGGCTGAGCAGGACCTTGCATGTGGTTGGCCCGGGTTCGAGCCCTGACACCCCACATGGTCCCCCGAACCCCGGCAGGAGTGATCCCTGAGTGCAGAGCCAGGAGTCAGCACCGCTGGGTGTGACCCTCAAACCAAATCAAAACAAAAAAATATTTCAGTTGAGGGTCAGAAAGAATAGTATGGAGATTAAGGTATTTGGTTTGGTCCCTGGCAGCACGTGGTCTCCCAAAATTAGAGTGAGGAGCAGCCCTGGAGTCCCAACATCCTGGACCCCCCCCAAAATTGTTTATTGAAGCAGAAAACAAACTCCTGGCAGGGGACCTAGGCTTGGAGCTAACGGGCTGAGCGTGATTCTGCAGCAGGTTCTTCGGGGAAACGGAGGGATGTGAGGGGCAGGCAGGGGACGGCCACAGTTTGTGCCCACAACCCCGGCACAGGGAGCCAGCGGGGCCCGAGGGCTAACCAGCTAACCAGGGCACTAACCAGCTAACCCGGCACTAACCAGCTAACCGGGCAGGAGAGTTCGGGGGAACTTAGTCACTAACCGGGCAGGTGAGCTCACGGGCACTAACCAGCTAAACGGGCAGGTGAGATAACGGGAATTTAACCAGCTAACCAGTTAAGTGAGTTAATGGGCACTTAACCAGCTAATCAGGCAAGTGACCTAACAGACATTAACCAGCTAACCAGACAGGTGAGCGAATGAGCACTTAACCAGTTAACCAGGCAGGTGACAACTAGCCAGCCACAGGCTCTGTCTCTGTTGGTCCCCCAGAGGCCACCGAGTCCTTCCTCCTCCCACTCCTTCCTCTTTTTTCCTCCCTCCTTCCTTCTCTTCCTCCTTCCCTCCCTCCCTCCCTCCCTCCCTCCCTTCCTTCATCCTCTTCTCCCTCCTCCCTGACTTCCGTTGGGAAGCCCACCACAGGCAGAGCTTGGGGCCGCATGAAGGCAGCCCGGGGACCCATCTGTCCCTGCAAAGCACCTGCGCTTGGTTCTGAGCCACATGCTGGCCCTGA